GACTTTCAAAGCGTTTGTAAAATTTAAAAATTAAATAAAAATATAGAAAAGACCTTTCCCCAACAAAAGTTGCTTTTGATCTAACCCTTTAAAATAAAAATGAATCGGGTGAAGCTGAAAGAATAAAAAGAGGAGAAGAATAATGGGCGGACAAAAAACTAAAAAAATAAAGTAAAAGCAGTCAAGCAAAAGGAGGGTATCTTTTTCGGCCTTTTAATTAAATAACAAAAGCATTTTTGTGTGTACTTAGATGCGCAGATTTGTAAGCTGTTGTGAAAGGTTATATCCCCCCAAAAAATTGTTTGGGTCATCTTTCCATTGAGATTTGGAAATTGATAGGGAAGAAATAAATATTTTTTTTATCAAAAAGAAAATCTGAGAGAGATGAATGATTCTTTTTATTATTATTACAAAAATAAATTAAGGGGTTCTAATTGATCTTCTCATTTCAGTTTTTTTCTTATTGGAAAGATGGGGGATGCCTATTTAAGTAAAGATGATTAAGTAAAATTGAAGGGAGAGAACAGAAATTTTAAATGATTTTATTTGGCTATAAATTTTTAATTACGTGAATAAAAATGAAAAAAAAAGTTTGGTTGTCATTTATTTCATAAGTAGGGTTCCACAATAAACGTTCGGAGTGGGAGGTGTGGGACATTTAGATTTTTGAAGGGTTTGGGACTGGGATAAAGTCTCTGAATCTAAATCCCCTTCGAAGTTCCCTTATTAAAAAAACGAAAATTGGAACTGGAAACCAAAAATGACTGTTTTATAATGCTGTCTCAATGAGGGCTGTCCGCAATTGCGTGGTTTTTTGGATTTGCGGATTGCGGCTGCGGATTTTAAAATGAAAATTGCGGACTGCGAATTGGTCAGAGGAAAATTTTTTTCCATTTGCGGACAGCCCTTGTCTTAATCCAAGAAGAAATCGCCTGACAAGACAGCGCTCGGGATGGAACTCTATTTAAAAATTTAATTTTAAACATAAAAGCTTTATTTATTCAAAAATAAATAAATTTAGTAACAAAATATATTTATTTTATTTTTCTATTATTTTATTTTTAATGTTTGTTTCTGCTGCGAGAATAGAAAAAAAAATAAGAGAAGAAACCCGATCTGGCTTTAGGACGGATAAAGGGGGTGGCATTTTATTTAGCCTTTTCCCCTTGCTCCAATGAATTTTTGTGGGACTGGGCCGTTTTGGCGCGGGGCCGTTTTGGCGCGAGCTTATAAGATAGCGAGTTCGTTATCAAAAATGATAAAATTTTGCAATAATAACTCTCATACCTTTATCTAGATTCTCCAAAGATTTCAGAATTTTTGATCAATAATTTCGGAAATTGTGGCCAAAAATGTTGATTTTCTGCAAAATGCCTAATTTTTCAAGGTCTATCGACTATAACTTCGGAAATATTGGATGAAAAATTCTGAAATTTCTGGAGGAGGTAGTCAAGGATGTTAAAGAAATTTGAGAAAAATTTTATAAATTTAGGTCTCGCCTAAGTGCCACTTTTTTGTTCTCGCGCCAAAACGACCCGGCGCCAAAACGACCCCAACCCATTTTTGTTAGTTTTGTAAACTCCTGAAAATGGAATTTCTTCCCGCAGCCAATTTTCTTCCCCCCCCCCCCCCCCCCCCCCATTTTTTCCCATTAAAAGAGAAAACTACCAAAACCGGTCGTTCCCCCCAAATATTAGATTTCTGTTTTGAATTTTATGTAAATATTAATAGTTGGTAGAAAACCGTTATATGGCGATAAATGACACGTAATAATAAAAACAATTTTTTGTTAAAAATAAATTTTTTTTGAATTTTTTTTGTAAAAATGGGGGTGTTTTGAACGATGAGAAATTTAAATAAATATTTGGGGAAGAGAGAATAAATTTAAATTGAATGAATAATTAAATTGTAAACGATCTGTAAAAGGTTAAAAAATAATTATTATATTCTCGTTTTACAATCCGGTTGCAAATATAGGTAAATTATTTGTTCCCTTGTATAATCCGTTTGTAGAGAAAATTTCTTATTTTTCGTCACAATTCAGTTGTAAATTATAATCCGGTTACAAACTAATAATTACCGTTTTCAGTTTACAATCCGGTTAGAATAGTATTTTACATAATAGAGCTTCACCGGAAGTTCAGGTTACGGTTCCGAAAGTTCCGGTGTTTTTTTTTGGTTCAGATTCCGGGATACGGAACTCAAATTGGATCCGGTTCCGGTCAAAATTTCTGTTCGGTACAACACTATTTCTGTTCCGGTGAAACATATACCTTATTTTACAATCCGGTTTGAAAAAATAATCACATATCTTACAATCCGGTTACAAAATTATTTGTTTTTCGATTACAAATTGTAAAAATAAAAATTAAATATTATTTTACAATCAGGTTAAAAAATAAAACCCGGTTGGAAAGTAATTTTCTATTGTCATTTACAATCCGGTTACAAATTGTAAAAATAATAATTTATTTTCCGTTTTACAATCCGTTTCCCCCTATCATTAGTATTGAGCACAGCTCTTGTAATTTGAATATTCCGACAAAGATATATACCTAAAAGGATAAGGACCTATAAATTTGGATGAGTAATACGGGGCATTTAAAGTGTTTTTACTGGTAATTGACTTGTACGATTTATTTAAATTATATTTAAAGTGTTTTGAACGTGGGAAATGAATTAAAAAATAAATTTAGAATAAACTAAAGAACAATTTTTGTTCTGTTTTAAACTAAACAAACAAACTATATATTTTTTTAATGAAGCAAAAATAATTTACAACACAAAAATAGCAACGATTAAACAATATTTAAAAATAAAGAAAGCAAAAATAAAGCAAAAAAATGAAAAATAAATTTTATTAAAAGGGATCTTTTATTATTTTTTAAAATTTTATTTTTGAAAAAAAAATATGGCAGATTTTTTAAAGAAAAAATTAAGGAAAAATAAATTTGAAAAGAATTGGGAATCAAAAGAATAATTTTAAAAAATTTTTTAAAGTGTTATTTTTCTTTTTTTGAAGTTGAAGAATAGCTAAAACAAATTCTAATTGCTTTTCATTCTCTTTATAAGATACACCCCTACTAGATATGTGTTAGTGTTTCACCGGAACCGAAATTTTGACCGGAACCGGAACCGGAACCGGATCCAATTTAAGTTCCGGTTCCCGGAACCGGAACCGGAACTTTTCTAAGTTCCGGCCCGGAACCGGAACCGGAACCGGAACTTTTAAAAAAATTTTGCAGGCAAATTTTAAAAAATTTGTTTTTCAAGTAGTGGTGTCGGTTTCGCCAAATTTTTCGATTAAATTGAGCCAAATTATTCGGTTAATCGAAACCGAGCCGAATAACCTAACCGAAACTTTCGATTAACCGAAAACGAACATAAAAACCAAACCGAACAATCCAAATCCCCTGCTATGCCAAATACCTCACCAACTTCATGATATCCTTTGATCCCCGAATTTCTTCGAATTATCTTTAATCCCACCAGATCCCTAGATATCAAATCACCGATATGCCATTATACATCGGTATCCCCAAATGTCACTCCAAATCTCCATTTATCTTTCTTTTTTAGCGCCGCAGGCGAAAATTTTGCTAATTTAGGAAGATCAAGTGAGAAATTCCAAGTTTTGGAATGCCAAATCCCCAGCTATCCAATCCCTGGTATCTCCTTGCACAGCTCAATCCCTCGACATCACACTTAAATCCCTCTATATTACCTATGACCTCTTGAACTCACATAATGTAACTCAAAGGGCGAAAATTTGTAACTCAAAGGGCGAAAAAAAATTTGCCGCAGGCGAAAATTTTGGAATTTTGAAAGGCCAACAGGTGAAAATATTGCAAGGCCAACCCATATTTTTTTAAAAAACTAATCGTTAGGGGTGTAAAAAAGTTCCGGTTTGGCCGGAACCGATTTGTAAACCGGAGCCGGAACCGGAACCGGAACCAATTTGAGTTCCGGTTCCCGGAACCGGAACCGGAACCAAAAAAACACCGGAACTTTCCGGAACCGGAACCGGAACCGGAACTTCCGGTGAAACTCTAATATGTGTTAAGTTTTTAAAGGTTGGTTGGCTATTGGAACGGAAAAAATCCTATATAAAAAATCTCCCTCTATTCCTTTATTTCATTACAAAATTCAAAATTCTCGGGGTGTATTACAATATGAGTGCTGATTACAATTTCGATATTTTTTTTAATAAAATTGAGGCATGAATTGTTTAAAAAATTTATTTTTCTGATAATTTTTAATCATAATTTAACGTAATGTTTTTATTAAAAACTTTTCCAACAAACATAGCAACAAATTCCAATATTTTTTTTTCTTTTAATGTGTAAATAAATCAAAACAACTTTTTTATATTAAAAATAAATTTTTTTAGATCTATCTAATAGATAAAAAAATACTTTCAGTTCTTTTCGGATTTTTAATTCTTTTATAAGGTCTATGAAAATAAACAATTATTACCGCATTTTACATATATCAAAATTAGAAAAAAATTATAAAACATAAAATTGTATTAAAATTATGCATATTATGCCTTTATATTTCTGAACCCTAACAATTGAAAAATTTTTATTTTTACTCAATTCTGTTATGTTTCTCCACCAAATGAGTCTTTTTAGGATTTTGGAGGGTCAGGAGACAGGTTTCTGCAATTTTCAGCGTCTCAAGCAAAAATTTCGAGGATTTTGGAAGGCTAGAAGAGAAAAAATGACATTTATTCTAAGAATTACAGGAAAATTTTAAAAAACTTCATAATCTTCAACAGACCTCAAAAATCTGTAAATCCGTGTTTTTAAAAATAATCCAATGTTCTTTATAATTTTTAAATAATTTTTGGTAAAGTTCAATTTAAAAACAAAAAAGATTTATCGATAATTTAAAAAATTATTTATTTTTGTAAAAATATTTTTTACAATTCTTTTTTTTTATTTTTTATACTTTTATAATTAAACAACTGGAATTTGATATTGATCTAATAACGTTTTTCAAGCATTATATTTGTTAATAAATTTTTGAGCAAATTTTAATTCGCTCTTTTTCATTTCGTAAGGATTTTGGCCTATTTCATGAAGTAAACGACGAACAGTTTCATCCATTGGAGCACCCGGACTTTCATTGTTAAAGCTATCCAGAGCATCCCAAGCAATATGCGCTCTGTGTCTAAAAATATTTTTGATTTTTACAGGCTACTTTTTGACACTTATGTATTTTCGATACCCCTCATTGGCCGGCCTTCTATTAGAGATGGGCTTCTATTAGAGATGGGCTTCTATTAGAGATGGGCTTCTATTAGAGATGGGCTTCTATTAGAGATAGGCTTCTATTAGGACATGGGCTTCTATTAGAGATGGGCCTCCATAAGAGATGGGCTTCTATTAGAGATGGGCTTCTATTAGAGACAATACGATAAATAAAATTTTACTTAAAGTCAGTTGTATCTCCGAGATCTTCTTTAGTAGTAAGCGTTCGACGCCCATCACTATTTTTATCCTTTTTAGACAACATTTTCTTGTTTGGTGTAAAAAAGTGTTGGAAAGATGGGCCAACTTGGGGAACTTAAAAAAATATTTTTTTGCTATAACGGACATTTAAAAAGAATATTTCACTAGTCCCAATATTCGTTATTCCTGTTGGCATTTGATTAATATTAGATGTGGATGGAGATATTTGAGGCTGTTGAACTTGTGGCTTTTCTAGAAATTTAGGAAATAAATTTTTTAAGCAAAAAATAAGAACACCTCCTCCATTATTAATTCGTTTAATAGTTAATTTCAATATATTTTTGAACATGTTCGCCTCGTTAGTGTTCTCAAAATTTAATGCATGTGGACAAATATCACTTTCAAACGTAATAAAACGAGGCAATTTTTCGTAAATTTTGATTTCAAAGTTTTTTTGCCTAAAATTAAAAAAAATTTTATGATCCAAAAAATCCCAATTTTCAAATTGGGATGGAAGCAGAGGTGGGTCAGAACAGTCAGAGGTGTCAGAAATCGGACGAGCCGGAAATCGGAACTGGCTTAAAAGTCGGAACTCGGAAATCAAAATTTTTTTTGTAAATCGGAAGGAAAAAACGCCGGAAATCGGAATTCCAACCCACCTCTGGATAGAAGAAAGGAATAAGTCTGACCATTCTTATACATATAGGAAAGAACTTGGGGAGGAAAAAGGGGTCTGTCAGGTTCAATATTACCAAAAAAATTTTCTTACAAGACTTGTTCCCAAACAATTTTCTGATTCAAAGTGTCATACAAACACAGGGAGTAATGTTTTTTAGCATAATCTTTTGTCAAGACCGCCAATCCCTCCTCAACTTTCCTCCAAACATCGGGACAATCTGGAAGGGCATTTAATAACTGAGCAACACCAGCCATCATAGAAACACGATTTACACCTAACACTTGAAAAAGCTGCTGATTTTCTGCATCTGTAGCAAGGGAAGAGCCTATAGGTGTTGGATGCCCCTTTTTATTCTTTTTTCTTTCCTCATTAATAATTTTTGACATTGTTTGTGTTTAACAGAAATTTAAACTGAATAAAAGAAAGGTTGATAAACTGATAATTGTGTAAAATAATGTCAGGGGGTTTATATGTTATTATTTGCTTTCGTTATAATCAATATAATGTGAAAGATAGGAAAATGCTAGAAATTGGGGGCAGGCCAGTGTACCGCGAGCCCAATGTACCGCCGAGCTATAACTTTGTCCAAAATTGTCGAATCCGTGGCGCCCTAGTATAGTTCGATTCAGCTGGTCGAGACGCATCGAACCATACCAGGACGCCACGGATCGACAATTTTAAACAAGGTTATAGTCCGGCGGTACAACATTGGGCTTGTGGTACATCGGGGTATACCCATAGAAATTATATATGTAGATATGTATATAATTTCTAAATGAATATGTGTGAATATGTGAGAAGAAATGCGGCTAGATAAAAAAGGAATTTTTGTATATGCTTGTGGAACTTCAAATTAAACGTGTCCGGAAATTTAGGGAGTGGACATTTGGGGAGTGGACAATTGGGGAGTGGAAATTTGGGGAGTGAGCGGACATTTGGGGAGTAGACAATTGGGGAGTAGACATTTGGGGAGTGAGGATTAAAAAATAATTTAAAAATAGATTTTTTGGACAATAAAAATAATTTATACACTAGTAAAGCTGTTTTTGTGGAGTTTCAAAGATTTTAAAGATATTTTGATGTCTGTAGCCGGTTGAGTACACCCATAAAAGTAGGATAGCAACCTCCCTCGGGGGTTGGTGTGTCGGTGATCGGGGTTTGCCGGGGAAGGCATGTCGGGGTCCGGAGTCGGGATTGACTTGTCGTTCGGGGGTCAGAATTTCACTAGAAATTAGGGTAGCACAAAACCATTTAGCTAAACGTAATCGGTATACGGTTATGGGTTTTTGGTAAAATTAAACGGAACGGTATAGTCTTAGATAAACGGCATAAACGGTATACGGTCACTCTAAACGGCGTTTAACTAACCTCTCAAAATTCTCAAAATTTTCGCCTGCGGCGCAGTAAAATAAAGAGAATCTGGCTTCCTGGCCTCCAAAGTTCTCGAAATTTTCGCCTGCGGTGATGAAAAAGGAATAAATCTTGCCTCTTAGCCTTCAAATATTCGTGAAATTCTTGCCTGCGGCGCTAAAAACGATACAGTGGGAGCTTTGACATTCGACAAAGCTCGACGAGTTCTATAACCTAAGATTAACTGACCACTTTTTAATACGTTGAGCAAGGAAAAAAGTGGGGGAATTGAATTTTACCCTTTATAACTCCACAAAAACAGCTTTACTAGTGTATAAATTATTTTTATTGTCCAAAAAATCTATTTTTAAATTATTTTTTAATCCTCACTCCCCAAATGTCTACTCCCCAATTGTCTACTCCCCAAATGTCCGCTCACTCCCCAAATTTCCACTCCCCAATTGTCCACTCCCCAAATGTCCACTCCCCATATCTCCGGGAGCCAAATTAAACGCAACTAAAATAAACGATAAAAATGGGAAAATGTTTATAGGGAAAAATAAATATTTATAAAAACGTTATGAAAATAAACAATTAAAACTGTATTACACATACTACATCAAAAATTAGAAAAAAATATACAGTCATCGACATAAAGATAGGGGCAAGAGTAACTAAAATGAAAATTAACCATTTTTTCAGTTAAAAATTCATTTTAGGAAAAATTTTTTATTTGACTAAATACTAAATTTAATTCTCTATTTAATGAGTATAAATCTTGCCGGATTAATATTTTTACTATCGAACCCAAGCTGAAATAAAAAAGCAGTGCTAATTTTCGCGCGACAAAAAGATAGGGGCAAGTCTCATAACTAAGTATTCACCCGGACAAAAAATCTTTAAAAATTTATACAATCATATTGACCGATTATAAGAGGAAATAAAAAAGCACTAGGCCCGTATCTCGTTTCGGTGTCGAGATTTCGATGCCCTGAAAATCAACGTAAAACAGGGTTTTTCAACTTTAAAAATTTTTTCGACATCTTGTGGATTGTTATAAATTTTTGTTTAAGGCTCATTTGATAGCCCTTGAAATTTGCTACAAGCTGGCCAAATTTCATTTCTCAGAAAAATTTCCCTCCCAAGATAAAGAACGTTGGTTATCAGAAACGGCATTTAAGAGGGAATTTATGGGGTGTTTGTTGCTTTTTGTAACATTAGCCTCTACAACAAACGAAATATTTTTTCTGGAAAATGAAATTTGGCTAGTTTATAGCAAATTTCAAGAGCAATCTAATAGGCTCAAAATAAAAATTTAAAACAATACATAAGGGGTCGAAAATATTTTTTGAAGTTTCTTACCCCTGTTTTACGTTGATTTTAGGGGTATCGAGATCTTGACATTGAAATGAGTTATGGGCCTAGTACTATAAAATTTTCTCTTATCATCGATAAATGGGTACAGCCCAAGTAGGCGCGCGGCCATGTAGGCGCAAAGCCATAACTTGCTTCAAGATTTCTGAATCTTTCCAAATTTAGTTTTAAACGATTCCTCTCATCGAGCTAAAGAGATTGGTATCAAAATTGTTGAGGTCCAGAAATTTTGCAGCTACAGTGGCGGAAATTTAAATAGGGAAATGGTAAACTCTATGTAATTCCGTTCATTTTTATCCGATCTGGCAGATCTTAATGTTAAAAAATAGCTTAATTTCTATCTCAGTTGACATGTTTCAGCGTTTTTCAAAATTCTGATATTTTCAAAAACTTTTCGACCGGTCTAACAGGTACTACATTTTCGACTTTTCGGAGAAATTTTTTTGAAGTCTGTAAAAAATATATGTGATTCTCCTCTAGATTCTGAATACAATGCAAAAAACCGCATCTAAATCGGTCCGGATTCTACCGAGTTATGAATTTTTGAAAATCGAAAAAACGCGATTTTTTGCCATTTTTTGTCGATTTTTTTGCAAAAATGGGTGTTTTTTCGATCTTCAAAAATTCATAACTCGGTAGAATCCGGACCGATTTAGATGCGGTTTTTTGCATTGTATTCAGAATCTAGAGGAGAATCACATATATTTTTTACAGACTTCAAAAAAATTTCTCCGAAAAGTCGAAAATGTAGTACCTGTTAGACCGGTCGAAAAGTTTTTGAAAATATCAGAATTTTGAAAAACGCTGAAACATGTCAACTGAGATAGAAATTAAGCTATTTTTTAACATTAAGATCTGCCAGATCGGATAAAGATGAACGGAATCACATAGAGTTTACCATTTCCCTATTTAAATTTCCGCCACTGTAGTTATGGCTTTGCGCCTACCTGGCCGCGCGCCTACTTGGGCGTGTCCCTCGATAAATATGTTCACTCGATTTTTTGTAGATTTTTTGTTTGGGTGAAAACTTAGTTATGAGACTTGCCCCTATCTTTTTGACGCGCAAAGATTAGCAGTACTTTTCTTTTTCAATTTGGGCTCGGCATTATGAAATATTAATCCATTAAAATTTATACTCATTAAATAGAGAATTAAATGGAGTATCTAATCAAATAAATTATTTTATCTTAAAATGAATTTTTTATTGAGAAAATGGTTAAGTTTTACTTCAGTCACCCTTGCCCCTATCTTTATGTCGATGACTGTAAAACACAAAAATTAATTGAATATTTTATTTATTCGTCTGACCCAGTGCTGTCCCATTGGAACCAACAAAAGTTTAGAGAAATTAAGAATAAATTGATGTGTCTACTCATTAGTCTCAATATTTTATTTTTTTAAATATTCAAAAATCAAATTTTCTAAGCAATTCTGAAAGTTATGATAAAAAAATAAATGACTGGCAAATAATTTAACATAAATTTCTTTATTAAAGATAGCTACAGTATAGGCAATCAACTTAGGTATATACCAAGGACGGGCTTTCCGCATTTTAAAAACGGATGGCAAAAGGCTAAAGATAATTAAAAATCAGGGGACAGCTGGGGAGCCAAAAAAAAAGTCGTAGGTTGGAGAAGTCAGAAGCAAGGGCGGGCGAAATTTTTGGAGATTATCTTGCGCCCGCCCCTGGTTGGAAGGATGCCATCTTTGGTATACGCCTTTGAAAATTTTTTTTCTCAAATTTGTTTTCCTCCTCAGATTCTCCCCGTCTTTCCTCAGATTCTCACCCATTTTTCCTCACATTCCCCCAATCTTTCTCCTCAGACTTTTCTCAAATTTCGTCATTTTACGTCACTATATGATCAATAAAACCAATTAATTTATTCTTAATATAATCTTCATGAAATTTTTTAATTTTTTCACGTAATACTTCTCCAAGTTTTCCAATTTCTCCGAATTTTGTTTTTTTGTCTATAGAATAAAATATTTCAGGAAATTTCGCATAAAAATCAAATTCATCAATTAAAAATTTCACAATTTCTTTATCCTTCTCTTCTATTTTTAAAAATTCTTTATATTTTTTGTTTAAAATTATTGAATTTAAAAATTCTAGAATTGCACGGAAGAAAAGCATTTCACAAATTTCGGTTAGCATTTGAGAAGGAATTTCTAAAAAAAAATTTATTTAGAAATTAAAATTTAAACTATGCCTAGAAAAATTTTTTAGAAAAAGAACGGGTACTTTGTTCATAAACCACCCCCCACTCCTATTTGAGTCTCGGGTTAATTTTCCTTCTTTGCTGTCAATCATTTTTTTCCTCCTTTTTTAATGCCAATCATTTTCTTCCCTCAAATATAGGACACCCAAAAGGGCGCGCGGCCATAACGGCGCAAAGCCATAGCTTGCTTCAAGATTTCCGAACCTTACCAAAATTAATATTAAACGATTCCTCTCATCGAGCTAAAGAGACTGATAACAAAAATGACAATGGTCAAAAATATTCCAACAAGTTATGGCTTTGCGTTGTTATGGCCGCACGTTGTTTTGGGCGTGTCCCATCTTATAAATATCCGGTTCCCAAAATAAAAACAAAGGTTGAGTAAACAAATAAACAAGACAAATGACAAAAAGATAGGTATACCTTCATAACTCTCAATTAATTCTAAACGAAAATTCAAAAGAATTTTACGAAATTTAGTCATAAATATTTCTATAGTATTTTGTTGGTTTTTATATTTTATTATTTTCCCCTTATCAGAATTAAATAATAAATGGAAATTTCCGTTAGCTACAACTGAGTGTAAGTAATTTAATTTGTGTTCTTTAATCGTTTTGTAAATTTCTCTTGCCATATTCAGAATTTGATTGAAAAAATTTTTTCCGCCTTTTGGATCAAAATGCACTTTGCCGTTAAACTCCTGAAATAATAGAGAGATTAGGATTGGGGACCAGTAACGCCCTGTAAACCCCCATTCCCATAGAACTCCGGATATTCGAACTTTTAAGATCAGAATTAGAGATCGGAAGGTCCGGAACCCGGTTTCGGGTCTCTTTTCCCGGTCCGGGTCCCTCCTGTCAACTTTCAGAACCGTTTTTTCAAAATTCCTATCTCTAATCAGGATCCGACAGCCCAGTCTAGGATACATTTCTAAAATTCAGTTGGCCACAGGATGAGGAAAGCTGTCTAAAAGATATTCCCAATTTAAGACTCGTTATTTAATTATTAGAGATTTGCCGGAAAAAATTTTGGTTTGGTGATCGTGCCAGAAACTAAAAAAATTTTTTATGGCTTTTTAGAGTTCTCTCCTTTATACTACTTAACAGGGATCACGCCGACCCGATTTACGATTCACGAAACTCGGGAATTATATTTTTTGTCGGCGCGATCCCTGCTACTTAATATTCCTTACTTTCACTTCATTTTCAAGGTCATAATTGTCATCAGATAAGTAATATTCCTCTTCCAGAAAAGCTTTAAAATGTTATGATTTTAATTTAAAAACTATATATTAAGTGTTTTACGAGTAGAACTTTCTCCACAAGATTCTTCATCGTTTGTAGTTGACAAGGAAAACAGAAGAAAGATAAAATAAATAATAAATATAAATAATTTTGTTGTCAACATATTACTTAATTAAACAAGTGCATATATTCACGTGCAAAGTAAAATGTTGCCCTTTTATACTATAATGGACTATGGGGCGGGCCGGACTTTGATCGGCTATAACTTTTTTATAATTAAAAAATTTGAATGAATCTTAGGCGATTCGAAAGCCCTAGATAGGAGCTATCTTTTTTCCAACTGGTTAGTTTTTGACTGATACCCACTAAAAAGTTACAAGTCGATAATTGTGAAAAACAACGATTTCTTGCACTTATCAACTTGTAACTTTCTAATGGGTGATCAGACTCGATCCATTCAGTTGAAAAAAGATTGCCCAAAATTGCCAGAGGCAAGAATGTCGAAAATCGTGTAATACCGACTAGAATTCTCAAAATCAATCTCCAGCAAGCAATAAAAAAATTAAAAATAAATACAATATAAAATATATAAAAAATAAATAAGGGCTAAATGACTGCCTTAACATACATACATAATTATGAAATAAATATATTAATCAATTAAGCCAAGATGCTTGCGACTTTCTCGGCTTTTCCTAAAAAATATTGAGAAATCGCCAGGCCAGAATAGTGTTATTAGAAATAGAAACTTACGGAGATTTGTGCAAGTATTAAATGTTAGAATGCCGTGGAAACGTTCATTAGATGGGAGATAGAATAGAACCTCATGGAAGGGCTCTATTCAAAAAAGAACCTTCTAACAACAGAAGGGTCGACAAGTACGAAAATGAAGAGTACCTAGCCACCAAAGTGTAATTTGTATGGATTTAAACCATTCAATTGGATTTTCCTTATAATTTCCAAATTCTTCGCTCGAAAGGGGTCGACAAAAAAATTTTAGTTACAAAAAGTAAAACGTTAAGTAAGAGTGCGGGCATAGAGAGGACGAGCAGAGGCATTCGGTGGATCGTTGCCAGAGTAGTTGGGTGAATGACTGTTGGAATAAATCTTCTATGCCTGGCCAGGGCATGAGTAGTTGTTGTCATTCCATAATTAAGTGTTGCCGTAGGAAATATGAATGTCGGAGTGAGGGAATCACAAGAGGGAAACCGCGGTGATAATAATTAGTTCATAGACGTCTCATGCATGGATTAAATGTTCAGAGGGATTAATAAGTGAATGGGCGCTTGATTGAATGAATACTATCACTGTCCTTTCAGTGGTAGCTTCCTTTCCTTTTATGCGACTAAGCTTTACATCTATTTACGTGGGCGTGCTGGGAATTAAATTTTTAATTTTATCTGTACTCTGCTCATCACCTTACAGTTAATTTACGATTTTTAAAACCACTTTATAGTCGGTAGAAGGTCATCAATCAATTAATAAAGGAAAAACACTTATTTATCTTTCCCATTAATTTATTTTCTACTCTAAATATAGTGTTAATAATTAAATATTAAAAATTAAATTAGTGAAAAAATCCTGTAAACTCCAAAACCATAAGAATGTCAAAACACTGGCTCAATCATTTGAATCCCTCAACTCTTACTTATTACAAACAACCATTGCATATTGTTCGTGGAAAGATGCAATATCTGTGGGATTCTAATGGAAATAAATATCTTGATATGATTGGTGGTATTGTTACTGTATCTGTGGGTCACTGCCATCCGTAAGTTAATGTCCTTTAAGAACACCCAATACTAGACAAAACCGGGAGGGTCGTATATGAATCGAGATCGATCTCTCGAAAAATCTCGAAATCTCGTCTCGGTCCGGTCTTTACTAGACACCCTAAATTTAAGATTTGCTCTTTAAATTAGGATGGCCCTCCTAGGCTATACCCTCTATTTGAGATAAAACACTATTTAAAATAAACCTCAGTGTATGTAGTATAGTGCAAAATTTTTAGCCACAAAGGTGATTTCATATTGAGGAAGTAATTAAAAGAATGTAAAATTAGAGGTGTTCCTCTCCCTTTTTTCCTCCCTCACCTCGTTTTTAATAAACAGAAAAGTCAACGATGCCCTAAAGAAACAAATAGACCAACTTTGGCATACTTCATCTATTTACCGAACAGACCCAATTGTTGAATATGCAGAAACTTTGACCAAAAAATTGCCTTCACATTTGAATACTTGCTTTTTTGTAAACTCTGGGTCTGAAGCTAATGACTTGGCTTTAGCGCTAGCTAGGCTACACACTAATAGATTTGATGTGCTTAGTCTTCGAGGTGCCTATCATGGAGGAACTCAAGTATAGTTTTTGTCCTTTGAGGAAAACATTTAGGCCATTTTAGGCCATTCTGGGTGCTACTAATCTTGGAAATTGGAAGCAGCCATTCCCTTCTGGCTTTGGAATCATTAAAATAAAATGTCCAGATGCTAGAGGGCCGTGGGGTGTTGGAAAGTGTAGAGACTCTCCTGCTGTATCAAAGAATAGTTGCAAATGTGAAAATGGTGAGATTGAAAACTACTTTAAAATTTCGTAATTTTGAAGGGAAATGTATTGCGTTTGAATCCCATATGGCAGAATTGCGTGACTGTCTGGATCATGACTTCCCTCAAAGCAGTGGCCCGGCTGCTTTCATTGTTGAATCAATCCAGGTGTGAAGCGTTATATCCTAAAACTAGACCTGGATAATTTTTATACAAATTATAATATCCCATGTCGGATTGGATAACTAAAAATTTTGGATTGTGGGAAAACTTAAGGGTAAAAGGGGAAGGGATGGGGGATACATAGAGACGGGACGAATTAAAAAAGTCGGGTCGGGTTTCGAGCTGAAAAAAGTCCGGTTCGGGTAACCCGACACATCCTGATACTCCGCCATTGAGAAGAAGGGCCTTGGGGAAAATTTTCGGAGAAGGCAGAGTCATGGGATGGGAAAAAGAGACGACGTTCTATACATAATTAACACTTCGTTAACAGGGAATCGGCGGAACAGTACAATACCCAAGAAATTATCTTCAAGCAGCCTTCAACACTATCCACTCCTGTGGAGGTCTAACAATAAGCGATGAAGTTCAAACTGGTCTAGGTCGACTAGGCTCTCATTTTTGGGGTTTTGAATTTCAACAAGCAAAACCAGATATTGTAACAATGGCAAAAGGAATAGCAAATGGTTTTCCTATGGGTGCTGTTATTACAAGCAAAGAAATTGCCAACTCCCTTGGAAAAGCTTTGTATTTTAATACTTATGGTGGCAATCCGTTAGCTTGTACTGTTGCAAAGGCGGTTATAAAAGTTTGTAATTTAATAAAAATTCTGATTTTTTAAATAATGAAAATTCTGTAAATTTAAGAAATAGAAATCAGAATTAACAAAAATAGTAAAAATAAAATCAGAATTACTGGGAAAACCAGAATACATAATTTGGAAAGTAGAAATCAGAATTAACGAGAAAAGAAACCAGAAAACAGAATAATTTAAAAAATACAAATCAGAATTATTGAAAGTCAGAATTATTAAAAATCAGAATTATTAAATATCAGAATTATTAAAATCAATTATTAAAAAGCAGAATTATTAAAAATCAGAATTATTAAAATCAGAATTATTAAATCAGAATTATTAAAATCAGAATTATTAAAAATCAGAATTATTAAATATCAGAATTATTAAAATCAGAATTATTAAAAATCAGAATTAAAATAGAGTTATTAAAAATCAGAATTAAAAATCAAAATTAAAAATCAGAATTATTAAAAATCAGAATTATTGTAGTACTTAAAAATAATTCTGAAATTGCTGGTGTGTAAAAATAGAAAATTCTGATTTATTTTTTTGCTACATATAAAGACGTAAGATAAAAATTCTGAAAAATTATAATTCAATTTCAGAATATTATTTAAACACGCAGAAAAGTTTTATTCTTTAGGTAATCGAAGAGGAAAAGTTGCAACAAAATGCAGACAAAATAGGCACATTTATGCTTAAGGAACTTTCAAAAATTAAATCCCCATTTATTGGAGATATTCGAGGCAAAGGGTTAATGATTGGAGTGGAACTTGTAGAAAATAAAAATCAACAGGAAAAATTATCAAAAGAAAAAATGGCTAAAATATTTGAAAAAATCAAAGAAAAAGGCGTTCTTCTAGGCAAGGGAGGTCTGAATGGGAATGTTTTGAGAATAAAACCTCCAATGTGTATTGATATGGGAAATGCTACACAATGTGTTGAGGCAATTTCGGAAGCTTTAGAAAGTGAAGAATGAAGAATATGTAGTGATTTTGATTGAAATACAACCACCCCACCCCCGCCAATATTTTCAATAAATATGTAAAAAATGGTCAGTCTATCAACAAAATGTATAACACACTGAGCTGTGTCGAATGACACCAAAATCAAAAAATCCGACAAATTTGAGAAACCATAGAGGCCAATACGAAGCATGTTTAGACAGTTCCCCAAGTCATTTGAACCCCAATTTTAAAAAGTGGTATCTTAGATTGAGGTTCGACCGTGTGTGCGGATTGATTTAACCACTAGAATAAGTATGTACATTCTCCTCTACTTGTCATTTTTAACACTATGTATTTTTTGATCACACAATTGTAATTTAAGTGCTTAAACTTTAAAGTAGGGTAGCACCCTGAGCCTTCGGGTTTAGTAAAAATTCGTCGAGGTTGAGGTTTCGGGTACGGGCTGCTACCCTAGTTTAAAGCCAATGTAATTTTTTAAAATAATAAAGCATACGTTATTCGAAGAATAAAAATTTTCAAAATTTATCGGGCAGAAATGTGAGTGACGAAATAGGCTGTACCTTTTTGTCTTAACGAATTTCGCCTTAAATTTTTATTGGCATTGTGTTTTTATTTTTTAAGAGGAACATTAGAGTCGAGAAAATTTTTGTTTTTTTCTTGGAAAGTTAGAAGAAATCTTTTTTGTTTTTAGTCTAGGGTTGTTGGTTCTTGGAAAATCTTGGGTACACCCCAACCTACCGCGACGCCAACCTGCCGCCGTGCTATAACTTCGTTCAGACTGAATCGAACCATACCAGGGCGTCCCGGATTCGACAATTCTGAACGAAGTTATAGCTCGGCGGTCGGTTGGCCTGCTTGCGAAAATCTTTGGGATATTTGGAACCGAACCGAAAAATCATCGTTTCTTCTGTTCTGTCCAGAACCGACAACCCTATTTTAGACTGTTTTGCACATTTTCTCAATAAAATTTTAGGTAAAAAAAATAAAAAAAAATAAAATGGACCATTCTCACCACGCCCATCACGACCACCATTCATCTTTGCCAAATGATTCAATTAATAATATTCTAACAAGTACAGAAAAGACTTCAATTGTTCAAAGTTTTTTTATTTTTTAAAGTTTTTATAAAATTTTGTAGCATTACATGAACATTCTTCCTCTGATCACAATATGAAAATGTATTTCCATGGGGGTTTTGATGAAATTGTTCTTTTTGATTTTTGGCGTATTAATTCTACTTTGGGTATTTTTTTTATATTTTTTTAAGGTTTTTGAATTCGCGCAAATGTATCAAATTATTTGTCTATGGCCTTCAAGAATTCTCTAAAAATTTTTTCCTCGAAAAATTTTCCTGCTCCTGACGTGTCCCCTAAATTTAGAGCCATACTAATTCGATTTAGTGGAAGGCCAATGAACTTTACCTTATTCATTCTAATAGAAAGACACCTCTAATAGGATGACAAGTTTTTGGGTTATGAAAAATATAATGGCTGCTGTTTTTTAGAGGATTAGATACCAGGGATCCTGCCGACAAAAAAAACAAAATTCCTGATTTCGGGAAGTTGGCATCCCGACCCAAAAAATCGTCGGGAATTTCCGGTTTTCGGGAATCGGTACGGCAGGATCCCTGCTACATACCTCATCATTCTCCTTGCATTTTTCGAGTTTAAAAATTTCCTAATTTTCTCTGATATTAAAGTCCCTTTTTAAGGTCTCTTCACTTCATTTATACTAATTTTCCTAATGGGAGCTGCATATGAAGGCTTGAAATGGTTTAGAGTTTACTTTCAACTTTGGGTTTATTTTGACTTTTTTAACTTAAAAAAAATTTTTTTTTCAAAAATTTTTAGACTTGTGAAAGATCCAAATCTTCCGATTTTTTGTCTCTAAATTCAGTCTCCCGAAAAGTTGAAGGAAAAAATTTCAATGGGTCAGAGGATCACTCTTTAATTAAAAATAATAACAAAACTTTTGCGTCTTCGAGTGGATGTTCCGAAAATTGTGGAAATTCGAATACTTTAAATAGAGAAGTTTATGCACCAACAGTCGTTATTTCTACTCCACAAGTTTGTACTAGCAGTATGCAAATCAATCGTTGGACGTTAGTTTTAAATTTTTTTTATTTGAGTGGGTCTTTTGGGAGGAAAAAACTTTGAAATGAACTTTGAAAAAACTTGAAATTTTTTCAAAAATTTTTTGAAAGTGACTAGAAATTAGTTTTCCTTTAATTCTTCACTGTATTTAGTAATTTGGGAGCAATATTAATTTAACTATAAGACAGTCTTCTAAAAATATTTTTAGACTTTTGCTTACCTTAATCTCCCCGTAAATTATTACGCCCCTAAAACTTTTTTCTAAACCTCTTCCTGACCTTCTCTTAAATTTTAGTTAAAAATAAATTTTTGGGTAAACTTTAAAAAATCTAATTTATGTTTGTTTTTTATTACACGATTCTACGGAAGGTCCAGGTCCGTAGTGTCGGACAGGGGTGGGATCTTTGATAACGCAACGCAAGACCAAAATTTAACGCAAGGCGCCCGCCCCTGGTGTCGGATTTAGACATTTATGCATGACCTAGACTTCCTTGTTCCCTTACCAATGATTGTCAATTTTCTTTTAAAAATTTTGTTTTTAGTTGGATAATGATGTATGTCAATCGTAATTTTTCTCCGTCCACTTGTCAATTGATTGAGACTGGTATTTATGCTTTTCAACTTGTCTTGTATGTTTTTTTGGTTTTTTATAAAAATTAATTTTTTATTTTAAGAGCGTATTGGTTAATGCTTATTGCTGTGAGTTTAATTGAATTTTTTGAATATTTTAAATAGGAAGGATTTTTTCAATTTTTGGGATTTTATGTTAAAATATTTTTTTATTATTTTATTATTTTTTTTTCGAAATTGTTTTAGGCTTTTTGAGCTTTTTTTACTTTTTTTCTTTAATAAGAGACCTTCCGGTTTTTTATAAGACAATTTAAACAATTTTTAATGGGCCCTCTACCAGAGTGAATTGGAATCCAGACTTTCTATTTCCGAAAATTTGGACTGATTTCCGAGTTCTGACTTTTGAACGATTTCCGACAGTTCTGATTTCCGCACCTTTGTCTTTTCGATTCACCTCTGCCCTCTACTAGGATTTTCCTCTAAAGGTTGTTAACGATTCGTTAGTTCTGTGGTGGCTCAAATGCTCTTATTCTTTTTTTGTCTGACCCGTCACAGGCAAAAATTAACCGGTCGCCAGTAGCTCTACTTTAAAATTAAATTTTTATACTATTAAAAAAATTTTTAAGATGACTTTTAATGTTTGGCTTACTTTTGCTGTAATTTTGGGAGCTGCTTTTGGTCATTGGTTATTTGCAAATATTAAATGTTCCCCTCCACGTCGCTGTTTTTGTCAATCTTGTGGAAATGGTGGAGGGGCTACTAGCAGTAATGATCCAGAAAATATTGATAATTTTGCTTCTGATTTGTGTCATTGAAAAAAAATTTTTTTGGAGGAGGAGGAGGCTTGCTTTTGGAAATTATTTGGAGGTTTTGACTTTTTAAAAATTTTTCTTTTTTTTCTTTTCACTTTTCTTTTCTGTTTGTTATTAGATTCTTGGCTGGTAGGGATCGTCACAGGAACGGGATTCCGTGCTGAGTGTTTTTCGAGTTTTTTGGGATTGGGATCCGCTGAAACTCCAAAGTAAATGCCAAAATTTTGGCCCCCCCTGAAATCGACCCCCCTTTTCCACATGTCAAGGGGGGGGGGCTTTAGCTCCAGAAGACCCCCCGCAAGGCCCTTGCATTCAGTTATGGAATCCTGGGCCCGATCTCTATTCTTAAAGGTATATAAACAAATAATATATTTTTTTCCATTTTGTAAATAAATTGTGACAAGTTCTAAATTTTTTCGGAGGCTAAAAAAAAATTTTTTTTGTTAATTTTTTAAAATTTGAAAATAATTTTTATTTGTTTATATATCTTTTTTCTCTATTAAAAAATTACTATGCATTATTTTTCAGATCTCCATTTAAACGAAAAAAAATTAAAATAAAATACCTAAACATATTTAAGAAAAATTTGTTTTTTTTCTGCTTATTATTCTGGCACTTTGCAGTACTTGAAAAGAAAAAAAATTTTTTCAGGGTCTTAATTTTTTATGAAATTATTTTTTTATATTTAATTTTAGTGTAGACAGCTCGCTCGAACCGAAACTCGAAAGATCGAGCGAGCCGAGGCTTTTCAGCTCGAAAACGAACAGAATCGAAAAAAACCAAGCTCGAAAAAAATGCACCAAACGTCGGCTCGAACCGAAAACGGCAACCTATTTAATTTAGTACTGCAAAGGCAATGAGCTTTATTATTTATTTAAAAAATAATTTTTTCTCTCTCAATTGAACTTATATTAAAATTAAGTTTTTTTATTCTGCCACAATACCCTAAAATTTATTTTTTTCCCGTCCAAATCTCTGCTTAAATTTTAAATATTTTTGTTAAAAATTTTCTGTCCTTTTAATTATATTTTTTGTTTCATCTTCTAAAAAATGATGCTTGATTGTTTATGTAAATTTCCTAAACAGCTCGATCTTGGCGATATTTTTTGATGAGGATTTTCATCCTCATTCCATCCATCCCCTTAAACCTTTCTGCCTTCCTGTGACAGGGCTCACGCAATTTCGGATTGCAAGCTGCAGATTGCGGGTGCGGATTTTTAAAAAGAAGTTGCGAGTTGCGGGATCTTTTTTTTCGATTACGTGCAGCCCTGTTCCTTCCCCCTTCCTTAAAAAATTTTTTTTAAATATTTCACGCATCATTTTTAAAAAATTTGGTTTTTTCTTCAAAGTGATATACATAAATTAATATATATCAGCCAAAAATCTATAAATTTTTATTTCCTTTGTCTTTTTCTTTCTTTTCGCTTGGGTGTTTAAGAATTGCATAAAAAATGTTTCTGTTAAAAGAAAAAAAATTTTTTAATTGTTATTTTACAAAAATTTTTTTAATCAATTTTTTCGTCACGAAAATGTTTTTTTTTCATTTAATTAAGCAAAAAATTAATTTAATGAAATGTACAAATAAATAGAATGATTTCTGATACGTCAATAATTAATTCAAATAAATGGACAATTGGGGACACTGTGAAGATTATTGAGAACAAAAATAATAATGATTATTGGCATATTAGAGAATTTGTTTTGGAGGATTTACAGGATGTTTGTGCTCTTTGTCGGTAATTTATTTTTCGAAAAGAATTTAAGGAGGGAGCTTAAAAAATTTTTTTATTTAATTAATTTTGTGGGTAGGGGATGTGAGACTTACAAATTAGTTACTTAGTTTTTGTACCAGGGATTTAGCCAACCCGATTCCGGAAAGTCGGGAATTTAATTTTTATGTAGTCTAGATCCCTGTTATTTACTAGGGTTGGCGGATCCGGATACTAAAAAAGGCCGGATTTCCGGAAATTTCCAACTATCCGTCAATGTACATTTTTGATATATGGGTGTGCCAAAAATTTTATTCTGTTACAGCCATATTTTTGGAAGTATCGTTTTGTCAGCCATCCATTATGCATGCTTCTAACTCTCCCAATCTAATGGCCTGCCTATTTTTTGATAAAATTTTACATTAAATAACATTTTTATTTTTTAATTCCCTGTCTTGAATAAAAAAATTTTTTTGCCAAAATAATTTAAAAAAATAATATTTTAGGGAAGCATTTCCTCTAGAATATCCAAACGAGTGGTATATGGATGTTGTAAATGGTTGCTATATAAGCTTTGGTTTATATCAGTATGAGATAGAAATATTTTAAAAAAAATTTAATTATTTCTAGTAATAATATTTTAACTTCCCTTTTGGTTGCTGAAAATACAACAATTAGAGATTGCGATTTGGAGGTGACTCTTCATGTGTTTTTTAATTTAATTCTTTAATGGTTTAAGTGAAAATTTAAATAAACACTGCTGAGTTGGTTTCTGGTGTAGTGGGAAAGTGTTATGTTTTATGGCCTTGGTTCGACCCCCATTCAATGTTAAAATTAATTTATAGCCTGTAAATGTGTCCGAAATTATTTTTCGTTGTTTTTAATTTAAAAATAAGAATTTCAAAAATTTTTTATATTAAGGATAAATCACTGCATAGTGACCCAACAGTAAATGTAATTTATATTTTGAGTTTGGCAGTTACACAAAATTATAAAAGGAGGGGATTAGCAACTATTTTACTCAAACATTTGATGAACATTATAAATTCAAGTAAAAAAATTTTTTTTATTAAATTTGTAATATTAAGAGTTGATTGAAAGAGGAGGAATTGATTTTTGATTTAAAACCTTTCTATTAAAACCTTTCTAGTCTCTGAAGTAGGAGTCGAATAGTCCCCCACGAGCTACTCCGTATATCTATCACTTAATTTAAAATTTCGGAGTTCGAAGTTGTACAGTTCTATTCATCTCGACGAGCTCAATAGAAACTAATTTAAATTCTGAATTTTACAATTTACCACAAATTATAGTCTGTGCTGGGGTGGGATAGCTGCGGATTTGGGTGCTAGTTCCATAAATCTTAAGAGGAAAGCTTTACAATTAAAGTGCCAGAGTCCGTGGCTGTTTAAGAAACTGAATAGTTTCGTCCGCGGCTGTTTTTTTTCTGAATAGTTTCGTCCGCGGCTGTTTTTTTTTCTGAATAGTTTCGTCCGCGGCTGTTTTTTTTTTAGTCCGCGGCTGTTTAAGAAACTGAATAGTTTCTTAAACAGCCGCGGACTCTGGAGCTTTAATTGTAAAGCTTTTCTCCTAAGATTTGTGGAATCAACACTCAAATCCGCAGCTTCTTATTTACATTTTCCAGAATATTTAACACATAATTTTAATTAATTAAAATTCTAGTTCAACAACCTTTACCCAAAATGATATTTCTTCATGTTTTATGTGATAACCACCCAGCAATCTCTTTTTACCGAAAAAACGGATTTTTCCATCACGCAACAATTTCAAATTATTACCAAATTGGGGATGCTTATTTTGATGGTTTTACTTTTGTAAAGCATCTAAATACTTCAAATTATTATGGATCTTTTAATAATTTGCTCACTTCAATTTATAAATGTTGTACCTCATTAATTGAATTTTTGGCATCTCCTTTTCGACGTTGTGGAGGTGGTGGGGGTGGTGGTACTAGTAGAAAATCTTCGATAAACAAAAAAGAAAAAAGTGATGATAAACTTGTCAGTATTTGTAGTAACCGGTGAAATTAACTCTACTGAAAGACTTCGTTATAAGATACACCTCTATCTAAGCTACACCCAATATCAAGGGCGTAGCTGGAGGGGGGGTAGCTGTAGCCCTCCCCCTCCCGAAATGGGGGATAAATTGGAAGACCTCTATTTAAGAGACGTTTTTTAATTTTAATTGGCCATTGGATGGGTGGGGGAACCTCCAATAAAGGAGATCCTTTAATAATGAGAGGGCGCGCCGAAATTTGCGGATTTTAATTTGCGGACCCGAAATTTGCGGACCCGAACTTTGCGGACCCGAATTTTGCGGACCAGAACTATGCGGACCCGAATTTTGCGGATCTGTGATTTGCGGACCAAAATTTTGCGGACCGACAATAGAGTCTACTGAACCTCGGAAATTTCAAAAATTTTAGCCTGCGGCGTTAATTAGGATAAATTCAGGCATCATGACTTTATGGGATGGCCATATAAATGATTTCTTCAAGGAATTTTCTCGATTATTTAAATTATGAAATAATTTTGTGATAAAAAATTGATAAAAATTTTGAAAAATCAAGAAAAAATCTTGATCTGGTACGGATCATGGTAAACTCTGCCGGGATCATCGAAAAATAAAATTTTTAATTTTTTCCTTTTACTCAAGTGTCTGCCCTAAAATCTTGGTTCCGCAAAAATCAGGTCCGCAAACTTCGTGTCCGCAACCTTCGGGTCCGCAACTTTCGTTCCGCAAATTTCGGGTCCGCAAAGTTCGGGTCCGCAAAATTCGGGTCCGCAAAGTTCGCGCCACGAATGAGAGATCCTCCAATAATGAATATACACTCTATTTAGGGTACACCCCACTATAATATACGAATTTTGAAGGTTTATCTTATAATGAGTTCCAAATACTATATATTATTTGTATATTACCTACATATGTGCTTTTATATACCGTAAATGTTCTAATAGAAGCCCGGCTCCAATAGAAGCCCATGCCCCATTAGAAGCTGCCCAATGGGACCCATTGAAAAATATACGTCCAGGGCTTTTATTGGAACATTTACGGTTTCTTTTATTATTAAGTCATTTACATCTCTAATTATACTCTACATATTAATAAAAAATAAACATTTTTAGTAAATAATTTTTATTTTTTAGAAAGCGCGAGTTAAAGGGGATTTTTTACGTTTTTAATTTTTTCATAGAACCTCCTCTCCCTTTCATCAACATTTATTATTTTCTCTTTTTTGTATTTGGCCAAATTATTTTCAGTATAGCTGGCACACTCTCCTTTTTTTTCTAATCAATTGAAGAGAAGAATAGAGGAAGAAAAGAAAGAAAAAAGATGAAGAAGAGAAAGAAGTTGGAGGGTTGTCAACGTACTAATATTTTCCTTTTACCCGCTCGGTAGTTAAGATGTTGAATGGATGAAGGGGAGATGAAAATAATGGGGGAAATGAAAATACTCTATGAAGGAAAGGGGAAAAATAAAAAAAGAGGAAGAAAAGAAATTTTGAAATAGGGGAAATGAAAGGAGAAAAACATTAGGAGGTGGAGGTCTGCTGTTCAAAAGGTCGTTCCATTAAAAGATCGTCAAGGCCAAAATTGGTCAAAATGTCGATTACTTTAATTTTGGCCGAGTTGACATTTAAGGAGTCAACGTTCTGACTAGGGTTGTCTGATCCGTGAAATCCCCGTATATCTCGACCCGATATCCGAATTGATTTTTTGGATCTGGATATTCGGATTGACAACCCTGATTCTGACCCTGGTAGATCTTTTGTGGAATCGACCTTTTAAGAAACCGACCTTTTAAGAGACGACCTTTTGTACAAGAGCCAAAAGGAAGGAGAGAGAGAAAGGAAGATTATGTCTAGCTAGTCAGAGAATCTAAAAAAGAGAAGGAAGAATAATAGGGGGTTAGGGGAAGGAGTATTGGGGGAGGAGTGGTGAAGAAAGAGGGAAAGAAGAGAAGAAAAGAAGGGGAAGAAGAAGGAGGTCTTTTATATTGACGAAATCGACAAGTCGCCCATGTAGTCATCCATCTCCTTTCTTCTTTTATATTTTCTTCAATTTTAACTCCTTCCATAATATTTTTTTTGATGTTTTTCCGTCGATATATCTTCAACTTTATACTTACTAAAATTAAAAAATTTGTAACCTCAATGAGTTTTGGGCGAGAAAAGAAAACCTAAACTTCGTCTTCTAAAACTCCTTCCGTTGTTTCGTCTGCCCAATGTTTTGGTAAGACGGATTTTTGTCTGACGGAGTTTTGTCTGACAGATTTTTGTCTGACGGATTTTTGTCGGTTGAAGTTTTGCTCTGACACAATAGTTTTTAACGATAATTTAATTCTTAATAAATTTATCTATAATGCCAAGTTTAATAAAAAGCGTCTTGCGTTTTTGGAAGAAAATAGCATTGAAAATAAAGAGACACGATTTTGTCTCTCCTTCTTTTGAATGCTATTTTCTTCCGCAAGACGCAAGACGCTTTTTATGTAAACACGGCATAATGAAGACAACATTTTTAAGGGATTTTTTATAGTATAATTTTATTTAAAATCTTCTCAAAAATTCAAAAATCGTGTAGACAACATAGAAAGATGCCTGGCCGAAGAGGTAAACTTATAAAATTTACTGAAAAAATTTTTTGTAACCAAAGGCTTGCGTTTTTTGGCGTTAAAAATTTTTGGCGTTTTGTTGCGCACACCTTTAGAGTTTTAAAAAAGTTCTTCACAATTTTAGGAAGATTTGGATTAAAACGACCGGCAAGTGGAATATGCCAATTTTGTTTAAAAATTATATCAGCAGCGAATTGGAGTCGACATCTTCAACAAATGCATAGAGGGGAAATTGTAGAAATGAGAAAGGGAGGGGAGGTAATTTTGGGGAGAAATTTTTGTTTGATTTTAAAATTCAAAATTCATTAAGCTTGCTAGAAAAGAAAAAGATGATGATCGCTTGTCTCCTGAATTGGCACCTATTAAACGACAAAAAATAAAAACAACAACGATTTTGGATCAGGACAAACCAGAAATGTAAAAGAGAGAATGGCACGCGGACATATCAGGATATTTCTATGTACGAACTAGAGGTCGGCGCAGGACGGGATCCCGCACGGGATTTTGCGGGGTCCCGCTCCCGCAATCCCGCACTTTTTTCGATTTGCGGGATTTTACGGGAATGCGAGATTTATCCCGCTGGATCCTGTCCCGCAAAGAGTAAAAAAATTTTATCCCGCGGGATCCCGCAAACACGATTTTGCCGACCTCTTAATTCGAACAGTTACCCTACTGATTTCGGGACTGGGTCTTGGATAGTATATTGTCCTGTTGAGGAATAGAGTTTTTATGTTTTAGAACAAATTTAAACACATAATAAGTTATTTTTGTCACCCCAGTCCCGATATGTCCGTCCCGATAAGTCCGCACACCGAGAGAATGGGTATTTTTTACGTGTCTGGTGAAAACGGCAGTGGTGAATTGGGCAGTGAGTTAATTGGGCAGTGAGTAATTTGGGCAGTGAGTGATATGGGCAGCAAGTGATTTGGGCAGTAAACGTTTTTAAAAAAATAATTTTACACACAAAAACAATTTGAGTAACACTTGAGAAATAATTTTGAGTGATTTGGGCAGTACCTTAAAATTTTAAAAATTATTTAAAATTGATAAAAAAACTTCAAAATTTTTATTTACCTTAAGTAAATCCAAAATTTGAACGTATTTCTCCTAAACAATTTTGGCCTTTTTTAGATATTTTTGACCTATTTTGAGACCTAAAAACTTAACATAGTAACTTATTTCTCAATTTTTCGTATCTTAAATCTACTTATCAGTTAGGAAAACGTCAGAAACGGGACCAAAATGATCGACTAAGGGTAATGTTGTTCACATAACGGTAAAGGTTGGTAAATGAAGAATTTGGACACTGTATTTTGAATTTTTGTGTGTAAATTTTAAAAATTTTAAGTTACTGCCCAAATCACTCAAAATTATTTCTCAAGTGTTACTCAAATTGTTTTTGTGTGTAAAATTATTTTTTTAAAAACGTTTACTGCCCAAATCACTCACTGCTCATGTCACTCACTGCCCAAATTACTCACTGCCCAATTAACTCACTGCCCAATTCACCACTGCCCAAATCACACGGCACCATTTTTTAAAATTATTCTCCTTTTACAGTAGTGAATTCGATACAAAGATTGACAATGAAAAGGACAATAAAGAGGTGGAAACGACAGATATTCCTTTAAGAAGAAGCAAGAGAAATGCTAAAAGTGGGTTTGATTTGGATTTAAAATTTTTTTAAAGTTTTTAAATTTCTATTGGTAAAACGAAAAATTTTTGGCAAATAGTCAATTGAGTTTTCGATAATTTTCGGGTAATAGGTCATTTGAGTCTTGAGCCGGATATAGTGTAGTGTACGGGTAATAAAAGTTCGGGACGTGACATATGCCATTCGATTCATCTCGACGAGCTGAGTCGAACGGTACCATTCCATGGTTTAGCAAGTGATTCTGGACCGAGTTATATGTAAGTCTCGAAAAATTAAAAGCCAGGGGTGTGGGGGGGGGGAGTAGGCTCGATTTTGGGCTGAAAAATTCGAATGTGCAAATAATAGCTCATTCGAAAGAGCTCGTTTACCACCGGTACACTACACTACAGCCCTCAATCCTTTTTTTGTAAATTTTTTTGTAAAATAGGCCACTTGAGTCTGAATTTTTTGACAATTCTTTGATAAATATGTTACCTGAGTCTCAAGTACCTAAGTTAAATTTGGATCATTTATGTATAGTCTATTTTCAGCTGTAAAACGAAAGATGACTTCACGTTGCACCATTAAACTCCCAAAATCCGGAATTTGTCCTCTCTGCTTCTACAAAACTCGACAAAGTAATTGGGCTCGTCACGTAAAGAGACACCATCCAGAATTTACTACACCTATTTATAGTGAAAATAAAAATAGTTCTGAACAAGTAGAAGAGATTAATGTTGTAGAACCTGCCCAAAGTTCGTCCAAATCGTCAGAAATTGATCTGCCAATGTTGCAATTAAAGCATTTTTTGAATCAACAAATTCAACACAATAATTTATTTGGGGTGGATAATGAAGATAAAGAAGGCTTGGGAGAGGAAGATGAAGAACAGATACGAATTATTAAGGAAGTAGATGGGAATAATGGGGAAGAAGAAGGAGGAGAAGAATATAGTGAAGAGGCTCAGAAGGCTGACGAATTATTATTTAAAGGTAGATAGGACTATAATGACTAGTTTTAAAAGGAGTATTTGATGGGATTGGGTCAGAGGTCGGTCGGAATTCCGACTTCGAAAACTTCGGATGATTTCCGAGTTCCGACTTTTGAGACATTTCTGATTTCCGACAGTTCCGATTTCCGACACCTTAGTCATTTCCGACCGATCTCCGGAGTGGGTGATCTCATGGGGTTCAGGGGTGAGCGCAAGAGACATTTAAAAAAACTCAACGCTAGGTTTGGGTTCTATAGATCTATAGAACTCACTGTGAGGTTCTATAGATAAATTAGGACAGAATAGGACAATGGAATTCGGAATAAGCTGGATGAATAGCTTATGATGGGCAGATAAAATATATACTGGGCAACATCCCAAACCCCCCAATATACACTCGATTTAGGCTAAAAAATTTGTCCGGCTCTAATGTTGTACGTAAATCCGTCCTTTACATTCTTTAGTCCTATCTTAATCAAAAAAATTCTTTTAGAACTCTTCCCAGGCCGTCGAATCATTATACGACGACCTGCCAATGGAGTATGCCAATTCTGCCTCAAACAGATTTCAGCATCTAATTGGAGTCGCCATCTTCGTTCACTCCATTTACCTGACATTTTTGAAATGAAAAAACAAGAATTAATGGTAATTCCACAAAGGGGATATTTTTAAAAAAATTTTAATTTTAAATTAAAGTTAAATTCATCAAAAAACGATTTACAACAAATTCCCCAAAATTCCCAAAATAATCTTGATTCAACACAAATATTAAATGAAATGACTTTGTCTGCTACAGCTACTGCTTGCGAAACAAAGGAAATAAATATTGAAAGTTTTGAAGAGCAAGTGGAAGGGGAAGAGAATAATGAAAGGGAAGATAGTGTAGATAAAACAATAGCTTCTGTTATTGAGAAAATTAAAAATGATGGAAGGAAGGGTATGAAACGGAAATTGAATGGTGGGTAGAAAAATGATTTTGAATGGAAAAAATTAATTTTAAAATCAGAAATTTGATAAGCCAGTAAAATATTTTTAAATAGGACACTTTAGGAACATTCCACTACATCTGTGTACCAGGGATCCTTCCAACAAAAAACCAAAATTCACGATTTAGGGAACTCGGGATCCCGGCCCAAAAACGTCGGGAATTCCCGATTTCCAGTAATCGGGACGGCAGGATCTCTACTGTGACTCGTTATCGGGTCTTTTGTCAGTATTTTAGTTTTCTTGATCTAAGTGTAGTTGTTTTGGTGCTCGGACTCGCTAAAAGACCCTATACAGGACAAATTTCTTTTTAGAATTCCTTTCAGTATAAAGTACTTTTTCGATTCTGATGGGAGGGTTATCGATATATGAGCTCTCCAAAACCTCAAGCTAGGACACTCCAAAACATTAAGACCGACTTTAGAAATTCTTGTACTTCCTGGGAAAGGAAAAATAATAAGCAAGAATTAATACAAAATCAAATGAAAATTAATTACAAGATTACAATAGAAACTTAAAAACCTTCCTTTTTTTAGTATCAGAAAAAAGGCAAACAAAAAAGAGTAAAAGCATTATTCGTCTACCTAAAACAAATATTTGCCCTCTATGTGAACGTCAAGTCTCCCCTGGAAATTGGAGTAGACACTTAAAAAGACACCATCCAGATTATGCATTATCCCCAGAAGAAGAAGATGAACAAATTAATGGGGAAAATAATTTGGATGATTATAATGAAGAGGAGGAAGAAATGGCAGCTAATTCAACTTGTCAAAACGAGACGCCAACGGAAGAGGTGAGAAAAGTTTGGGGATTCAAATCTAGTTAACAAAATTGTAAAGAGACATGTTGTGAAGCTTATTGGATTAGGAACGATATTGAGAGAGGTGAAGTTGGAGGGATTAACAGATATTGTGAGATTTGGGTGTGTAGAGAGTTAAAAGGATTTGGAAAAGATATCGAGGTGTTATGAAGGTTAAAAAGGATTAAGTACGGTTGGAGTAGATATACTTAATACCAGGGCTGGGCGAAATCTAAAAATAAAAAGCGAAATGCGAAATGCGAAACTTTTCGCGCTAAAAAATGCGAGAATGCGAAACGCGAAAGTGTGAAATAAGCCCAGCCCTGCTTAATACCTAGTATATTCTACATTCCCTCCAAATCCCCTTAAATCTTACAGATCCCCCTAATCCTTACAAATCACCCGATATCCTCTTTATCCCTCCAAATCATCAATATTCCCCGTTAACTTGTAACAGATATTGCAAGATTTGGGTTAATAAGAGATATAGAATTAAAAGGATATCGAGGTTTTGTGAAGGTTAAGAAGGATTAAGTGAGGTTGGCGTAGATATACCCTTATACATATACTTATATTCTACGTAATTACTACAAATCTCTTTAATCCTTGCAAATGACCCGAATCCTTTTTATCCCTCCAAATCCATCAATATCTCCTGTTAACCCTTCATGACCCTCGATATTCCTTTTAATCCCTCCAAGTAGTAAACGGATATCCCATTTAACCCTCTTTGTACTGTTCACTTAAAAACTTTTTTTAAAGCAGGCCTTACTTTGGGCCCTATGTCAAGAAGAACTTGATGTCCAATCTTCTTTAGCTAATGCTAACAAAAAAGCTGAAAGTATTCGAAAAAAGATGGAGACATTCCAAAATGTTTTGTCTTCTGAAGAAGTTAAAATCCGAGAGGTATTTTTCTTCCGGAATTTTTAAAATTTAAAATAAAAATTTATTTTAAAGTTGAAACTAAAGGCTGAACAATTAGCCGAACGTAGGAAAGAATTGTTACTAAAACGACAAGAAAATGTTCAAAATGGTAAAAGGGAGAGAAAAAATCTTTGTTTATAAATTTATATATTTTTTGTTTCCTTGATTCTATGCAATCGGATCTCATTATAAGAGACATCCTAGATAACAAGGATGTGCCGAAACAGATGTTAAATAGTGAAAGGCGAAATTTCAAAAAGGCGGAAGGCTAAATGGCACAAACTTCCGTTAGATAACCTCAATTTTTTAAAGTTTGTTGGCACTGGAGGGAGAGGGGGGGGGGGCAGGTCTGGACGCAACTGCGGATTGCGGACTGCGGATTTTAAAATAAAAATTGCGGATTGCGGCTGAGGAAATTTTTTTTAGTTGCGTCCAGCCCTGATGGGGGGGGGGGGGGAGGGAAGGGTGCTCTGTAGTTTCGTCAGAGGTTAGTTTCGTCAGAGGCCTTTTTCGTCAGAGAACAGTTTCGTCAGAGGGTTGTTTCGTCAGAGATGAGTTTCGTCAGAGACCCTTTTCGTCAGTAAGGCTCCCTTTTAAAAATTTAATTAAACGGCGGTATTATGACTTATACTAGGTTATTTGTTTCTGGATCGATTTGGACAAATGAGGTGTCATTCGAAAGAGCTTTAAAAACTGAGTCGAATTAGTTGTGGAAGAAGTTAATACGACATTCCGCGACCGAGTTACAGACTCCTGAATCATGACAAACCATAGGGAGGCTCGGCTCGTCGAACTCGAGGCAGCTTGTCGACCTGACCCGAACGAGCTATCATTTGTATACTCAAATTTTTCACCCCAAAAATCACTTTTCAGAGCTCTTTCGAATGACACCTCATTTGTCCAAATCGATCCAGAAACAAATAACCTAGTATAAGTCATAATACCGCCGTTTAATTAAATTTTTAAAAGGGAGCCTTACTGACGAAAAGTGTCTCTGACGAAACTCATCTCTGACGAAACAATCCTCTGACGAAACCGACCTCTGACGAGAAGGACCTCTGACGAAACTGATTCTGACGAAAATGTCCTCTGACGAAACTAACCTCTGACGAGACTACCGGACACGGAGGGAAGTTGCCTAGGCTCTGGTCTAGTTTAATAGTCCCATGAAAGTTTAGATACTAGGTCATTCAATGTTTATGATTCCAATGAAGATTTTTGGGTCCATTAAAGTCGAGTCCGAATAAAATTTTATAAGTCCTCCTATTTTTTATAAGTCCTTTATAAGTCCTCTTACTTCTCAGTATCAAAGATACCAATTTCAAGTCCTGAGGTCGTATCCTATAGTGAGATCCGTTTGTAATCTTTTTTGATTTTATTAATCGATTCTTCCTCATTTTTTAAATTTTTTATTGAAAAATAAAATTTTAACAATTTTATCAAAATACAAATTTAATTTTTTTTTCCTCAAAAAAATCTATTTAACAACTTCCCTATTTTCACTTCAGGTCAGACTAATCCCTTTTATACTCGCAATAATACTTAAAATGATTGGGTGTTCGTTTTAATGAGAATTTTAATGTTCTTTAAAATTAGAGGGGAGGTCTTAAATTGAAAAACAAAAATATTTATATTTAATAAACACTAGGCCAAACATTGATTTAAATAAATTTTTGTTTGAATTTTCTGAAATCCCCCTCCCAAAAAAATGAAAATTTTTATTAAATTGATAAGGCTATTTCAATATTTATTTGTTAATTATATTCTTCTACGGTTAACTTTGCTGATGTTGAATTTTAAAATGAGTATGTTATTTATTATTTAAAGTACCGTAAATCCTCTAAAATAAGCCCCGGGGCTTATTTTTTTCGATCGACCTCTAGAAGGGGCTTATTTTAGAGGGGGGGGGGCTTATTTTAGAGGGGAGGGGCTTATTTTGGAGGGGGGCCTATTTTAGAGGATTTACGGTAGTTGTATTGTATGATTGAGGTAATGAACAAGAGTTGGTCGGAAGTATTTGTCCACCTTCAATATTCTAGGGATTTCCTTCCGATTTCTGAAAGTCTGACAAATTTCGAGTTTTGACCCAACTCTGTTAATGAAAATTGAATTTTCTAATGAGTTAATGCTCCCTCAATAATTCACTTTAGATAAGGCCAAAATTAATAATCTTGTTAAATATTTAAAGCAAACAGTGCTTATCAGACTTGGAATTGCCCCGATTTTGATAATTCCTGCCGGTGGCATAATTCAATATGGCCGCCATCTTCTATTCTTTGGTTTCGAAGTTCAGTGCCTATTGATGCTGTTGAGTTACAATTACTAACGAATACAAATGTGCTTCCAGGTGTTTTTAATGGGGGTTTTTGAAAATGACGTTTTGGCGCTAGTTTTGGCGTTACATTTTGGCGTTTTGTATTTGGCGTCTTTTAAGAATTCGAAAAACAGGCGTTTTTTAAGTTCTTTGGGTACTGGTTGGAGACGGATATTGTTTCGAGGCCGGGGTTTGTCTATAAAATGATACCTTCTATTTAAGATAAACCTCATTATAAGGCACTTTCTAAAACACAAGAGGGTATCTTATAACGAGACTGGAAATTCTTTAAAAATTAATTTAAGACTTATACTATGCCATTTCTGCTTTTGGACCAGTAAACAGCACATCAAACAACAATACAGTCGTAGCTACACTAATTAGTGAACCGATAGATTGTCAGAGAGGAACCGGCAATTTAACATTCAAGTGAATAATAAAACAAATTAAAATGAAATTTTCTTTCCAGTTATTGGGTTAGTCCTTTTGTACAGCTCACAGTTTGTATTAAATTATCGGGACAACCACTAAATTCTAGCAATGATTGTCAAAAAGTGCCAATTACACATCAAGGTCCTGGACCTGCGGTTATTATGATTCCCGAGCCTAGAGGACAGTTTCAGGTGAATGTGTCTCAAAATTTTGTCTTGGTCTAGAGTATAATAATGTAGTAACCTCACTAAAAGAAGCACCCAATACTTTATGAGCGTTTTTTAATTTTGGTTCGAGGAGGCGGTTCGAGGAGGCAACTAAGGCCAAGGCTTTAACTATTGTTCAGTCTGACCATTTTGTACATTAAAAAATAGGGGGTGGGGACGGGAGTATTCTTCACTATAGAATAAAATTTTTTCAACCCCGAAGGTGTACATAAAATAGAGGTCCAATTTATTCACAAAATTTACAGTTTATTCTATGGAAGCTAAATAGAGACGTTCAAGACTCCTGACCCTTAGTCTTGATTCAAGAATTTTCTTAGGGGGTTTTTAGGTCTTGGGGTCTTGAATCTTGAATAGTTTCAGTCTTGGACATCTCTAAAGTTGACATACTTAAATATAATTTATTTTTACATAGTTGATCATTGAATCTTCCAACTTTGTCTATTCAAGTCCTCAACTAAGCGGAGGTTTTGCTATCCTAGACAACATTAATTACACCTCATATTTTTGCGATGCACCTGTAACATCGGCAACTACACAATCAACTACAATATCATCCCTTTCTGGTAACTTTACTGCAACCGATACTTCCTTTCTGTTAACACAAACAAATACAACCTCAAATCAAATAACGCCGTCTTCGAGAAATTTGTTTTATGTTGTAAGCGATCAGAGTAATTCAACCACAGTTGGATCACTAAATAATAGTACGGTAACACCTACAATGTTTATTACTAATGCTACTATGAACATAATAAATACAACGCCAAATTCTCAGCTTAACACAAGTTCCCCTTCAAATATGACAAGTTCAACAACGGCGTTGCCTACATTAGCTACTATTTCTACCCCACAAACTTCAAATACTTCTTCAACCGGAGGAGGTCTTCCACTAGCTAACAACCTTGTTTTACAAATGGGTGGAGCTTCTATTATGAGCGATCAAGCAGGAAATGTTTCCTCTACAGCTTCAACCATGATTAGTAGAAATACAACAACTCAATCTATAGTTACTCCAACAGGAAATTCTTCTACAAATTCAAGCAGTTCAAATCCAACAAATGCAACAACACAAAACTCTGTTTTAAATTCTTCAAATTCGACCATTCAACCAACTTCAGCTACTAACTCATCCTCAATTTCGAACACTACAACTCCATCAACTATAGCATTACAAAATCTAGGAACAAGCTCATCCACAAGCAGTACAACTACAGTAATTAATTTAAATAATAATTCAACAAGTTCGAACAGTACAACAGCAGTGATTAATTCGTCAAATAATTCAACAAGTTCAAGCAGTACACCTGCAACTTCGTCAAATAATTCAGCAAGTTTAAGCAGTACAACTGTAGCAAATAATTCGTCAAATAATTCAACAAGTTCAAGCAGTACTTTTCAAACGACACAACCATCTATTAATTCAAATAATTCGATAAATTCAAGCAATGTAACAATTTCAGCCCCTACTATTCAGACAACAACTATGAGCTCTGTTCTATCAATTGGGCTTCCAATATCCTTCAGTAACATTACAAATTCAAGCATTTGGGGTATAATACAGATGCCAACAGCTGGAGTATTAAATACAACAAGTATACCTCCTTCAGCCAATTCCACATCAACTAATTCAAGCAGTACAGGATCCCCAACAAATTCCAATGTCACAATAATTCCGGCAACAACACAATCGACCATAAATTCAGCTATCAATTTGCTTTCCAATTCGAGCAGTACAACTGTTTCAATGCAAACAAACACAAGTTCGGCATCTAGTTCGACATCTACTCAAAGCATTATAAGCGGAATAAATAATTCCTCAACAAATTCAAGCAGTACAACCTTAGCACCGACAACAACCTCAAGCAGTACAGGTCAATTAACTGTAACAAATTCAACAAGTACAACTTTAGCAACACAAATAGCTACAAATTCTGCAACTACTTTGTCCACAATTTCAAGCAGTCCACCTGCATCAAACAGTACAACGACATCAGTACCAATGTCAGTAACTAATTCTTCCTCGAATTTGAACAGTACTTCTACATCATCCTCTGTTCTATTAAATTCAACGACTGCAATGCCTATGAATGTAACAGCAAATGCTTCAACACTTCAAACAACGACTATGAGCGCTGTTCTATCAATCGGGCTTCCAATATCTGCCAACATTTCAAATTCAAATGTCTGGGGAATAATGCAAATCTCAACAGTTGGAGTATTAAATACAACAAGTATAACTCCTTCAGCCAATTCCACATCAAATAATTCAAGCAGTACAGGGTCGCCGACAAATTCCAATGCAACAATAATTCCGGCAACAACCCAATCTACGATAAATTCTGTCATTAATTCGACCTCAAATTCGAGCAGTCCAACTGTTTCAATACAGACAAACACAAATTCGGCAACTAATCCGCCCATTATTCCAAGCAGTACAAGTGTAATAAATAATTCTTCAACGAATTCAAGCAGTACAACTCCATCAACCACAATAAATTCAAACAGTACAACCTTAGCAACACAAATAGCTACAAATTCTGCAACTACTTCGTCCGCAAATTCAAGCAGTTCACCTGCATCAAATAGTACAACGACACCGATATCAACATCGTTAACTAATTCTACCGCAAATTCGAGCAATATAGCCTCTCCTACTGCATCCTCTGCTTTATTAAATTCAACGACTGCAATGCCTATGAATGTAACAGCAAATGCCTCAACCCTTCAAACAACAACTATGAGCGCCGTTCTATCAATCGGGCTTCCAATATCCTCTAATATTTCAAATGCGAATATTTGGGGAATAATGCAGGTATCTACAGCAGGGTTGGCTAACTCAACTGTGGCTTCCCTGACTAATTCGTCTACAAATTCAAGCAGTACATCTTCTACAACTGTAATTCCTTCAACAAACTCAAGCAGTATTGCTTCACCAGTCTTTAATTCGACCACTATTTCGGCAAATTCAAGTAGCAATAATGTAACATCAACCTCGACAAGTGCAGCTACAAATTTGTCTCCAACTTCGAGCAGTACAGCTGCTGCAACTACTGCTATTCCATCAACTGTCATCTCAGTTACAGGTTCCTCCACAAATTCAGCAAGTATTTCCGCAACTCCAAGTACAAATTCTTCAACAAATTCAAGCAGTATATCTGCTACAACTACGTCAATGCCAACTTCTTTCACCCCAGCCACAAATCAGACTTCAATTCCTAACATCACTAATGTAACTACTAATAATTCTTTGACAAATTCAAGCAGTACTTCAGTTCCTCCTACCACTAGAGTGATAGGAGAACCATTGGCCCCTAGTAACGGTTCAAATATTTTTGGCATAATGCCAATACTAACAACCATTCCGCCTACAACAATGAGCGGAAACTCGTCTTCAGTAATAAACACTACAAATTTTAATAATACTACAGCCGGACCAATTAATATACCAACTACGTCTATGCCTGTTTTTAATACTTCATTAATTAATCAGACGTCAGCTTCAAGCAGTACATCTAATTCAACTACAATTTCGCCAACTACAGCAATGCAAGTTACCAAATTGACCACAAATTCTAGTATAATAACAACCACAAATGCGTCAATTCTTGCTAATAATTCAACAAATTCAAGCAGTCCAGGCATAGCAACTACAGCTAGCTCAGTTATAAATCTGACAACAAATCAAAGCAGTATTGCGGCCACAACTGCCAATTCTTTGACAAACTCCTCAATAAACCCTTTGACAAACTCCTCGTCAAATTCGAGCAGTACACTTCCATCTATGTCTACAGCTATTTTACAGACAACTACAAATACAATGGCTGTTGGTGTTCCATTAATTTCTAGCAACTTTTCAAACATTTGGGGTATTATGCAGGTGCCAACAACTACACTTCTACCTGTTACAAATTCTTCAGCAAATTCAAATAGTACACCGGCTACTGTATTGTCAACTGGATCTTCCGGCAATTCAAGCAGTGTAGCTGCCGTGACCACGCCCCTACCAATAACAGCTCTGCCAGCTACAACTTCGTCTATAAATTCAAGCAGTACAGCTGCTGCAAATACTGTTATGCCAGTTACAAATTCAACCACAAATTCAACCAGTATATCTGGAAATACAATTTCGCCAACAAATTCAAGCAGTACACCTATTGCAACTACAATTTCACCCACAAATTCAAACAGTACTTCGGCAACTACAATTCCGTCGACAAATTCAAACATTACTTCTGCAACTACAATTCCGTCGACAAATTCAAACAGTACTTCTGCAACTACAATTTCGTCCACAAATTCAAACAGTACTTCTGCAACTACAACTACAATTTCGACAACAAATTCAAACAGTACTGCTGCGATTACTTTGCCCACAAATTCAAACAGCTCAGCTCCTACAACTACTGTTTTGCCAACAAACTCAAACAGTACACCTCCTGCAACTACAATTCCATCTACGAATTCAACCAGTATTGCTTCACCGGTCTCTACTTCAACCTCTGTTTCGACAAATTCAAGCAGTACACAGTCTATTATAGGTCAACCTTCTTTACCCTCAACTACCACACCCACAATCATTTCAGTCAATCCACAATTCCCTAATGAAATTAATGGCATTTCTCAGATTCTTAATCAAAATTCTGATACACTTTATCAAGAAGGTTTACCTTTATACTACCTTTAAATGATTACTTATTGTGTTTTTAAGCAATGCGTCAAATTACCATTCAATTACAACTTAACAATCAAACACAGACAAGTCAGAATGTTACTTCATCTACAAGTATATTTATTCTCTTTTTTTTATAGAGAGGTCGCGAAAAGAGCCCTAAATCCAACGTAATCTATCTCAATTTTCGACTTGCGTGCCTTTCGCACCCGTCCCCGGAAACTACGACGAATTTTTAGGCAAAACCCCGACCCGAACCCCGAAGGTCTACCTCGGCAAACCCCGACACTTCCGCCCCCGAAGGCTCGGGGTGTTACCCTAGTTCAGACTTTCATAGGTTGAGTATTTTTCCGATTTTGACACCTTCAGAATTCACCTTGACACCTTCCTACGCTTCAGACCTCCTCTGCTTCTAATTTATACATTTTGCATTAACTTTAACTTGTTCCTCACATAATGTATGAATTAGGGCTGGCTTAATAAGAAGTCACATCTTTAATTATCCTAGAGACTTAAATTAGAACTACATATCATTTATCTTTTAAATACAGCTACCATATCGAACAATTCAACCATCACAACTCCGCCAACAAATTCTACCTTACAAACAACAACCATGATAAATCTCGTAATTAGCAATACCTCAATGCCTTTTACTAACAATACAGGCATTTTGCCAATATTCGGGACAACAAGTTCGACAACAACTTCAAACAGTACATCTTTAGCAACAACAACAGCAGCAAGTCCGACTCCAATTTCACCTTCAAATTCTAGCAGTATACCATCCACAGCCTCAACAAGTTCATCTACAAATTCTTCGACTTCTAGCAGTACAAATGGTTCATCTACAACCACACCATCAACCAATTCATCATGTGCATTATTAACAACAGCTAGGCCGGCTACTAATTCATCATCTAGTTCGAATGTTACACTAACTACAACGAGCCCATCTTTAAATTCATCAACCTCAAGCAGTACAAATGGTTCAACTACAACCTCTCCACCTACAAACTCAATAAGTGTAACATTAACAACAGCAAGGCCAGCTAATAATTCATCTTCTACTTCGAATGTTACACTAACTACAACGGGCCCATCTTTAAATTCATCAACCTCAAGCAGTACAAACGGTTCAGCTACAACATCTCCATCAACAAATTCATCCAGTGCATTAGTAACAACAGCTAGGCCAGCTACTAATTCGAATGCTACAGTATCCGTAACTACAGCGGGTCCATCCTCAAATCCATCAACCACAAGCACTACAAACTCTACATCAACTAATTCATCCAGTGCAACATTAACAACAACAAGGCCAGTTACTAATTCATCATCTAATTCAAATTCCACAGTATCTGCAACTACAACAGTCCCATCTCTAAATTCATCGACCCCAAGCAGTACAAATGGTTCAACTGCAGTTTCTTCACCAACAACTAATTCAACCAGTTCACCATTAACAACAGCAAGGCCGGCTAATAATTCATCCAATACAAATACCACAGTATCCGCAACTACAACGGGCCCATCCTCAAATTCATCAACTTCAAGCAGTACAAATGTTTCAACTACTGTATCACCATCAGCAGTGTCAACTGTAACCTCAACAACATCAATGCCTTCAATAAATCCATCCTCAAATTCAAGCAGTATATCTACAACTCCCCCAACCTCCACAAATTCGAGCAGTATATCTACAACTCCCCCAACTTCCACAAATTCGAGCAGTACTCGAACTAATCCAACTCCTCTTACAATTTCAAGTGATGTACAGTTAGCTATTTTAAGATTTATTGGAAGCGGTGCAGTGATATTTAATTTGAGCCCGACAAATACGAGTACGAACGCAACAACATCGTCGAATAATGGGACATCATTAGCTGTACTTACACCAATATATAAATGAAAATATAAAAATTAGATTTAATTTTTAATCCTTTTTTTGTAAATGAGAAAGCAAATAATATAAAATTTATTTTATTTTCTAAGAAAAATTATTTTAGAAAACGCCTAAATCTGTTTTAAAACTAACAACTAAAAAAGCAAGCTAATGCTAGTAGGTTGAAGCTGGGATAGACTAATAAAAGCAACCCGTCTTCGAGAATGGGGGAAACGTAGGGAGTGTGATTCGCGTTTTTTCTGCGATAACCTCTTGTGCTTTATCTATCTCCTGGAATGGTAATTTCTAGAGACGTCCAAGACTCTTGGGCTTGACTCAATACGTTTCTTGGGGGTTTTTCGGTCTTGGACGTCTCTTGTAATTCATGATAGGTCTTTAGTTAAATAAATTTGTGTTTTTCAGCAAGCAGTATATTCAAAAACCACCAAAAGTCGAAAACCGAAACTTCGTTATAGCTCAATGTGCCATTCGATTATTTCAACTTTGACTTATATAGGTCGCTCTATTAGAGAGTATCGTTCAATTATCACTCTTTAAATTTCCTTTACATATACATAAAAATAACACATATGTATATGTACAAGCTCTAAAATTCCAATGAAACATCGATCAGCAACTTTCTTCCTCCTTCAGTTCCTTCCAACTCTGTATCTAACTTCGAGATTTTTCTACCGAGCAGTATTTCTTATAATATCAATTCTATCCATATTTAAACTTTTTGATTTTTGTACGTGTATTAAGAAGGGCACAACTTTGTTTGATGCATTTGGATTTTTACAGAAAAAAGAGGAAAGATGAGGAAAACATTTGTTGAAATTTTTTCTGTAGTCATGACTGAAAATAAAAATTTCTGAATTAGGTAAAATTTAAATTGCCCGATAAATTAGTAGAGTCTATTACCGGCTCATATAATTACTCAAGGGTAACCTATCGTTGGAGGGGACAATTAATTGTGAGGGGAATTATTCGATTAGGGGCAATCTTCAAGCATCTTAGAGCATTAAGCTAATTATAACTATCTTAAAGGGGGTAAATATTTTTTCAACCTCTGGCTGTAAGGGGTACTTTGAGCATTTACAGTATATGTATACTAATATATTAATCAGGATCAGGGATGTGGATTTTAAAATTGAAATTGCCGGTTGCGGATTGTGGCCACGGATAAATTTTTTAAATTGCGGACAGCACTAATAAGGATTGCTGTTTCGAGTCGGACTAATATTTAAGACAATTTTGCTGTCCTGATTTTATCTAGTCAGGCCTCACCTTCCCTTCAGGCTCACTTTTCGTTGAGAATATTTTCTTAAAATTCAAAATTTTTTTTTCAAAAAATAACCTAAATAAATATAAGGCTAGAGCATCCAAAGCTAAAGCCACATATAAAGGAAAAGCTCCAATATTTCGAACAAACCAAGAAGTTAACAAATCCAAATTAAGATAAGTAATAACTGTCTGTAAAATTTGGTTATTTAGCCAGCCAAATAATTGTAAAATCATCATAGAAAAAACTGCTTTGAATATTTGGCATATTGTCTTGTTATATTGTTGATCTGTAAAAAATTGAGAATTTTTTTGGAAATTTTTTTTGAAAAAATTTTGAAATTTCGGGAATTTTTGAAATTTTGGAAATTTTTGTAAATTTTTGAGAAATTTTTGAAATTTTCTGAAATTTTTTGAAATTTTGGAAATTTTTTTGAAATTTTTTGAAAATTTTTTGAAATTTTTGAAATTTTTTGAAATTTTGGAATTTTTTATGTAAAACTATTTAGGTAATGAAAAAGAATTTTTGAAAATCACCTGGATTTATTTTAAATCTAAGCATTATACCAACAATTACATATAATATAGGGGTAACCAAATTGAGGCATAAACTCATAGAAAAATAAGATTGTGGAGATATATCTGTTACTAGACATATTACTGGCCTAAAATTGGGGAAAAATTGTTTAGTGAACACCCAAATTTAAGACATGTGTCTTAGAAGTTGGTTAAATACTTGGTGGGGAAGCTGACTAAAACATATCCCCTCCAAATTTACCTTAATTACAATTTATAAATCTTTCATCTTATAATAAGGTCAGATTATCAGATTATAATCTTGATGGAGACCTTTTTGTCTACATCTTCCTTTTGACCAGAGGTGAATCGGAACTAAAAAAGTGCCGAAAAGCGGAACTTTCGGAAATCGGTAATGACTCAAAAGCGGAACTCGGAAATAATCGTAAATTTTTGGAATCGGAAGTTGGATTCCAATTCACTTGTGCTTTTGACTGAGTCTCAAGATTTAGGTAATTAAGAACTTACTTATTTGGATTTTCTGTAACTGTAATAAATCTCACAACAACAGAGTAAACAGAGAAGGAGTAGCAGAGCAACAAATAACCTATTAGTACAAGGAGACTATTCGAGCAAGTGTTGCAATAACTAAAGAATAAGGTGAAAAAACAAAAATATATCTAGTTAGAGATGGGATTTTCGAGTTAGGTCGACGTTCGAGTCATTTTTTACGGGCTTCATTTTATCGGACCGGCTCGTTCGAGTCTTTTTCGGGCCAAAAGGCCTTTTGGACCGGACCAGGCCCCCAACCCTATATCTAATACTCGATTAGGAATTATGTACTTAAGTGACAAAATGCCTCACAGTATCAATGGCTTTCGAAAGATTGCGAAAATCGAAAGTAAAATATCGAAATTTCGAAACAGCTCTAGTCGGTAGAGCAACTGCAAAGGTACTCGTGAATTTTATCATAAGTTCGGACATATCAATTGGTGCAGCTGACAGATACATGTCTCAGATACATGTATTTCATGTATTAAACTAAAAACATACAAAATGGGGAATCCAACAGCCACAAGTCTATCAACACCGATACACAAACAAAGGGTGATTTGAGAAAAAAATGCAAACAGGGGTAGCCATTGAATCCAAATACAACGACTGACGGATATAAAATTAATTCCAGACATTACAATAATTAAAGGGGGTAATGTCCCAAGAAGGAAAATTGACTGAAATTATAAAAATTTTCAAGTAATTTTTGAAAAATCCTTGCCGTATTTAACGAATTTAAAGCTATAAGCAAATTACAATTTCCAAACATTTTACATTTAAAAGTGACCCAGAGGAGTGACATAGCAGAAATAAATGCCAAAATGGCAAGTAATACTTTGACAGCCAAAATAATTAAAAACGAGTTCAAAATACCAACATTCTGATTTACATCGAGGAAGAACTAGAAAATTATTTTTTAGGGTTAGTATCGTATTTCGGTCCACATTTTATTTTTATTCTTCTTTCCTTTCCAAAGAAAGTTTCGAATGAACATTCTGTTAAAGGGGTAATTTGGAAAAATTAATTAGGATATATGGCGATAAGTACCATCAATGGTCTGATATTGTGCGTCTTTACCAAATCTCTAGGGGAATGCATCTCTCCATCCCCAGTAAAGATTTTATGGAAATATGTATAATAAACCTATTGAAGTAGAAATAGTGGTACACAGAGTTGGCTGGTATCTATATCCCTACAGGTATCGGGCGCAAAACCGACTTTGCCGAAATAAATCCCAGTATCTGTTTTTTGATACCAATCCCGAGTCGGTATCGTTATTCGCTATTATTATTCCAAAATATAGATACAGATTTTATGTTTGAATCCCGATACACACCCTCAACATTGATATCCAAAATTTATTTTTCCAAATTAATATGCTCCTTTACCAGTAGGTATATTCCTCTGACCCACGTGTACTTTTTTGGATAAAGGAAAAAAGAAGGAAAATACCTAAAATCATGAGGGATAACGCAAAAGTACCAAAATAGGTACTTTAAAATTTTTAAAAACTTAACCTGATCTTCAGAAGAATTAGTTAATGTCTTTGACAGTTGAATATTACTCATTTTAGTAGTACCAATTATTTTTTAAAATTAATTTAATATAGCTCTTTATTTTTGGTAAAATCTGGTGATAAATGGCTTAAATGCCTTAAATGGTATAATGGCTTAATATAAATATAGCTATGAATGGCTTAACTGAAATCTTACAAAATTCAAAAGTGGTTCTGTTAATTTTATGGTAATAGAAGGGATGGAAGGAATGTTAAAATGGAAGCAAAATTAGCTTGACGAACACATTATTAAACGCAAATTATAAATAAATATTTTCAAAAATAAATAATAATTATGATAAATTGTTAGTTAAAATTATGAGAATCTCTCAAATTTATATAATTAATATCTAAAATTATATATACATGGAATTCCATTTTTGTTGAATATGTAAATATCCAATTATAAATTTATTATATTTTTTATGAGGTAATACGTAATTATCTAGGCAATAATTATCGTTGAGTTTTTGAAAGCAGGGATATTTTTGTGTATTTTTGCAAATAAATGGACTCTTTAATTGAATGAGAATTATTTTAAGTATTGTGAAGGGTGCGGAGAAAAAAAGGAATTCCAAAACACAAACCGATAAATAAAGGAACGGCCGAAACACGGTTCAGAGAAATCAAGGACGGCCAAATCATGGTCCAGAGAAAAATCTGCATTTTCAAATTTTTAAAAATTAGGAGGCATTAAAAATGTATTGAGGTCGAAATCGTGAAATTAGCTTGATTCAATGACTAAGGTCTCGCGAGGATATCGAGTGATATGTGTTGATTAGTATTATCAGGGTGTGGAGAGATTAAAGAGAATATAGAAAGATGTGGGCCTGATATCGAGGGATTAAGAGGGCTTTAAGGACATATCGGTGGATTTGAAGATATCGAGGGATATAAGGGTATTTGAAGGGATTAATAAGAGTTATATTGAGGGATTAAGAATTTAGTCGAGATATCGAGTCTCCCCGATATCCTTCCAAATCTTTTTTAGTCCCCGGTATCCCTCTAAGTCCTCCATAATCCTTTTTGATTCATATAGTTTCCAACGGTTATCTTTTATCATTTTTTGAATAAGGGCAAAATTTAATGTAGCAAATTGAAAATACAGATCGTTCTGTGTTTTGGTCGTTCCGGTAAGTTCGACCGTTCCGTGTCTTGTCTGTTCTCGAGTTAGTCTGATACGATTGAGAAACACATCGAATAACGGACGTTCAATTCGAATAAATAAGGTATTTTCTTCTTCTATCGGACAATTTTTCGTTTCGTATCGAAGATTTTCATAGATTTTTGATGAATTTTAAAAATTTATTCGGTTCGAGTTTTGTTAAAAAATATTTCCGATTTTTTTCGTTTCAAAAATGACGAAATAAATTAATTTAGATATCGATAAATGATGAAATATTTTAATTATATATGTCCTTACAACTCCAACCGGATGCCAAATACCACACCGAGCCATAAGCGAACTTTACACGAACCACCAAATTATAGGCTTCTCAAAGATTGCAGGTGTTCCACCAAGTAATTTTTAATTTTTAATTAAAAATGTAAGGGTAAAGAACAGATTTTTAAACATAAAAAATAAATTTCTATAAATAAACCATCCTCTAGGGGGGTTTCGCTTCAGGCGTTGAAAAAGGAAGAACCTCATTTAGAAAACTATCGATGGATTAAGAGAGATATAAGCAAACGGGATACAGCATTAACGCTGGAAGTAAGGGAGTCGGTTTATTAGAGGGGATAGGTATAATAGAGACAGTCGGTTTATTTTTCAACATTCTTCTAGGGGGTCGGTTTAATAGAAAGGTAGGTCTAATAGAGACAGTCGCACCATTAGGAAAAATACGGTACCGTATTTTCTCTAAAATAGCCCCAATGGGGTTATTTTTTCGATCGACCTCTAGAGGGGGACTATTTTAGGAAAAATAGGGTATATAAAATATTTATTATGACTAATTTGACAAGTGCCGTTCGTTTAATTTTATTAAGAAAAATTTTTTTCAGAAATAAATATTTTTTTATTAAAAAAAATTTAATTGGTTAACGAATAAATTAATTTATATTTTTAAAGGTTCTACATAAACACCTGCCCATTTAATTTTTTTTAGAAAATAAATATTAAATAATAAATAAAAATAATAAAAAAATATGAGAGGTGTTATTAAATAAAAAAATAAAATTAATTGTCAGGCATGTTTTTATGTAGTAAACAAATAAATTATTTAATAAACTTAAAGGGCGGAAATTACTTGAGGAAAAGTGATGTGTCTCTTGCAGGAAAAAATAAGGAGAGTGGCACAGTATGGGGTCTGAAAAATAAGAGTTAAATGAATTGCTAAGATATGAAAGAGTACGTTCTGTATCAACAGTCCCTCAAATAATTACCCCACCTCTATTATTTACCTCCTCCAGCGAGAGGGGGTAGAAAATCGTGAGAGGGGGTTTATCTCTACATACAGTAGCATATTGTCATATCTTTATGATAAAATAAAAAATAGCTAGGTCGAAATAATGATTGCCCTCCCTTAAATAATCACTCCACGTCCACATATTATTTACCACCTCCAGCGAGAGATCGAAACAATAATTACGCAGGGTATTTAATACAGTATATACGATATACGGTCATTTTAATGACAGTCGTTGACTCTTGCCCCGTTCAATAAATTAAGAGTTACGGGGTAGCGTACCCCTAACCGCACTATGAGAGAAAAATCAGAATTGAGGGCTTTCCAAGTTGGAAATTCCAACCCTATCATTTTTCTCTGAATTTATTATATGGGCCTAGTTGGCTTTGAACAGAATTTTTTTATAAGAAAATTTAAATTTTAAAATTTCATATTTTTTGTGTTTTAATTTTTTTAAATTTTTTATTTGCAAATTATTTAAATTAAACAAATTCACGTGAATTTATTTTTATTTTTTTACTTGCAAAATTAAAGATTTTTCAATAACCAAGACACAAAAATTGCTCACCAGACATAAACACTTTTTGTCGGCTTTAATGCTACGGTTACATAAAAATCGCGCGCGACACGCGACAGAAAAGATAATGTAAAAAGAGGAGAGAAAAATCGCGCGCGATTTTGTCGCTTTTTTCTAGTGGTTACATAAAAAGCGACTTCCGCCGGCGTCTTGTCGCGCGCGACTTTGTCGCTTTTTTGAGTGGTTACATAAACCGCGACTTCCGCCGGCGACATGTCGCGCGCGATTTTGTCGCTTTTTCTAGTGGTTACATAAAATGCGATTTCCGCCGGCGACACTTTTTTTGATTCAAACATGTTTGAATTTTCGGCGACACTTTTTTGCGACATGCTATTTCTCGATCAATTCTGATCCGATTTTCAAAATTTAAAAAGATTCTGAAAGTTCAGTTTATTCTCTATCGATCAATATAAATTTTATATTTTTAAAGTTAAATCTTATGGGTTAAAATTGATTTTGAAAAAGGTATACTTTTTGCAAAAAATGTTCTTTTTTTCGATATTTTTGAGATATTCAGTATGCCATCGAGTATTTATATTATAACTTTTTTATCAACGGTCAAAAATTCTGATTTTTTGATATGTTGTAGAGCTTTTGATTCTCTATCAAATGATATCAAAAACATGAAAAAGTGACAATTTCTTGATGAGTTCCTCCCTATTTTGGGGAGGAAAAAAAGATAAAAAGAATTTTTTGAATTTTTTTGAAATTTTATGGGCTTTAAAATGAGCCTAAAAGAAAATTTTTTATTAAAGTTCTAGGGGTTTAAAATATTTTTTGAAGTACTGTATCTCCATTTCCTTGATCAAAATTAGAGGTCGGCAAAATCGCACTTCCGGGATCCCGAGTCGGGATTTGGATATAGTTTAGTATACCGGAGTTTTAGTTCCGATATAAGACCCATATAGATCCACCGATATCCCTCTAAATCTATTAGATTTTTACAAATTTAATCTTATTTACAGTAGTCGACATAAAGATAGGGACAGGAGTAATTTAAATGAAAATTAACTATTTTTCATTCAAAAAATACGTTCTATATACCAATCGAAAGCTCTATTCGTATCTCAGTTGACATGTTTCTGCATTTTTCATGAAATTGAAAATAGGCCGAGATAATCCGGATCTACCAGATATACCAAATCCTATATCCGCGGAAAAATTTTCTGAAAAAATTTGACAAACCCATTTGATAAAGCATATTTTTCTGAATATTTTCCACAAAACCGCTTAAAAATATCTTTTTCCGGTCCAGAGATATGATTTTTTGAAAATGGCATTTTTCCCTTAAAAATTGAATTTTTCAGGCTTGTGCATGGATACGGATAATATTCGGATATCCGC